GTTGTCAGGAGGCGTCGGTGCTCGCCACAGTGGCCGATCTGGCGGCTCACATGATCGAAGACATGGAGCGCAAGAAACAGCAGCAGAAGTCAGAGGCAGAGCACGAGGGACGGCAGGCCAAGCGAAGAGCCAACTGACTGCATGACCCACAGACACTGACCGACTCGCCAATTGGTGCATCGGTGTGCTCGTGTGTGTGCACTCCATCGCACGGACACTTGAACGTTCAATTAATGGTTCATGGTCGTCGGTCAGTCGGCAGCGCACACACGCACAGAGCACCGACAAGTGTCAGTCAGCATCCACACAAACATCCATTCCTCTGAGCAACCATCGCTCAGAACACATCATTCGTCATGTACACACTCGCTGCTGCAGCCACGCACTCAGCCGGTCAGCCACACACACATGTATCACGCCCGATAAACAGCAGAGATGCCATCCATGCAGTCAGCCTGTCAGCTGCACGCCATACCTCACCTCTCCCACCTCAGCTGTCCTGCACGCGCTAGCTGATTGATTCATCCACACACGCGCACACACACAAACACACACACGCATCCCGCTCCCTCTCGACATTCGTGTAGTCGCGCACAGTCGCATACACACGTGTACGCAACGAGGCAAGAGAGCCGAAAAATAACCCAGCTCCTCAGCCAAACCATCCACGCACACACACCAAGGGAGAGACACAACGTACGGGCACACACCGGAAGAGAGACCCACAGGGAGTGGCGCCAGCCAGTCCGATGACTGGCGCCCGTGTATTGAGTCAATTCTCGTGGCACACACGCGGTAGTCAGCGGGCCAGGCGACGGATCATCTCAGGCACTGCACACACACACGCACACGCACACACACACACACGCACACGCACACGCACACGCACACGCACACGCACACGCACACGCACACGCACGCACTGTCGGCCCTGCAAGCCACCCTACATGTGTGAAACACACATATTAAAATCCGCCACGTTCACACACATGCAGCACTGTACATGCCTACGTACGTACGAAGGGACCGACATGGAAATATGCATGGGCCGGCCCGCAAAGCAGCCAGCTAGCCGTTCGTAAGGAAATGTAGCAGCGGTAGGAATTACCTTTGTCTGTCACTTTGGACACTTTAGATACTACAAACAAACACCATCTATCCATCCATCCATGCACCTATCACGCGTAACCGCCTTAGCCTTAGGCATCCAAATACGTATGGCACGACAGAAGAAAAAAAAGCTTATCATCCGGCCTGTACGACACAGGCAACACAGGCAACACAGGCAGGCAGGCAGATCATCCCGGCAACAGCTCATCCATTCGTAAACCATAGAGTGCCTCAGGAACCGCCCGCCACGTGATGAGAAGATTGCATTGCATTGCATCCTTTCCTGCCTCCTTCAGGCATCAGACGAAGAGAGAGAAAGTGAGAGACGTATCGGGGATAGCCCAGGTTGGACACAGACGAAGCGACAAAGAGAAAGAGACACGATGTATATACTGGTGAGACCACATCCATTCACACACACCAACAGCATTCACACTGTGCCCGTCAGACACACCCCCGTCAAAAAAGTACTTTGTCTCGGCTAGCCATCCCACGCACACACACAGACACACACACAGACAAGCACACAGACACACACCAAATGCACGCCTCCATTCAAAACCGACCTCCCCCAATCAGTCAGTCGCCCTCCGCTCTCTCCAGATTCTTCTTCCAAGCGTGCAGGAAGACCTCCAGGTCGCCCTCATCAGTATCAGTATCTCGACCACCGCTCGTCGTATCTTGCTCCTGCTCTTCCTTGGCCTCACGCTCCTCCTCGCGGAAGGCCGGCGGCTTGTCGTGCCGCTCCTGGCGTCCTACCGGCATCCGTGGCGGCTCGCGCCCGCTTGTTGTGTCTTGCTCCTGCTCTTCCTCGGCCTCCTCTTTCAACATGAACACCTGTTGAGACACACTTATGACTCATTCATGTGTATCTCAACTGGCTATGAACGCACCGTCTTCATGTTGCTCGGCAGCTCGCCACCCACGGGCATCTCGTGGGTCAGATCGACTGGCAGTAGTGAGGCGACAACCTCGCCCTTGATCTTCAGCACTTTGTACTCATCAGTCAGCCGATTCTTCCGCTCAGCCTGCATCCGATGCACACAGGCACACATGCCGCACACGAGACACAGATGGGACATGCAGCCTCTCATCTCATCTCATCTCATCTCATCTCACCTCTCCCTCGTAGACTTCTGGGTTTTGTGTGAGTCTGTAGTTGGTGCCGTTGTAGTGTGCCCGGATCCACATCTCCAGCTGCCGTCGCGTGGCCAACTGTGGCTTCTCTACGACGAACCAGTTGACGGCCTGGGTGCAGGGTGGCGTGGTGAGGCTGCCCGCATAATGGTAGATGCTTGAAGTGCTGGCGAATGCGGCGAGATCCGAAAGGTCTGAGTCGACCTCATACACGACCTCAGGGTTCTCAATGCTGGGGATGCGGGGCCCGTCCTGTGCGGGGTTCTCGAGAGAGGCAAGGAACTCGTTTTCTTTGAAGCCGACATCGAAGACGTAGCCCAACACGGCGAACTCAGCTGCATACAGAGCGGACCCCTCATGTGCATGCCTGTCTTGTGCTGCCTGCCGGTAGACGTACGCTGCATTGCTCCATCAGTATCGGTGCGCACGTGAACAATGTGCATCTCCAGCGGAAGCTGCTTGCCATCAAATGTGTGCTCGGATCTCGCATGGAAGTGAAACGACACAGCAGTGAATGTCTTAGTCAGGTACCGAAGGTAACCCAAGTCCGCCTTTCTCTCGGTATCACGCAACTCTACCCTGCGTATGTGACGCACACGGACACATCCTCTGTGCGTGCTGGCTCAGCGGCTCTGGCTCACTCGACAAATATTGGATTCGCTTCCGGGCCCCACATTATCGTCATGTTGGTGGTCAGTTTGGGGTACAAGAACGAGACCGCCGACTGTCCGGGAACCACCTCGTTTGGCTTGATGTTCAACGGATCCGGCAAGGTGTGGCCGCCCAAAAAAGAGTGGCCGCCCCTCCTGATGTCTATCGGACTCTGAACAGCACACATCGAGAGGACAGGCAGACAGAAGGAGGGTTAAGCCGAGCGCGTTGGATGTCCGGGCCCCACGCACCTGTCTGAGTGTATTGCCACATTCATTGCCCGGGATGTCCAATTCAGCCCAGTCGCCACCATTTTCGTCCCAGTCGAACGGCGCATCTGCCCCAAGCGCAGTGTCAGCCAGCACAAGCCAAGCAATGGCGACGGTCAGCAGGTATCGCAACGCCATTCTCCGAGGAAGAGATGAAGGGAAGACGTGCAGGAGATAATTAAAAAGAAAACCTTTCTCGATCGCTTTCGCATGCGTACATCATGCGTGCCGTTAGCGGCCAGGTTGTAGCTGGCCGATCAGGTTCACTGCACATCACTCTATCAGCGGGCTTTCTGGGGAAGGTGGTTTGTGTAAGCGTCGTACACCGTGTCTGATTTTCCGTTGAGGGGTTTGCGCGCGGAAAACCTTTCGCACTTGTTCCGCGCGGTGGCGATTCGTTTGCGCCTAAGATGTGGACGGAGAGCACACGCAACTCTACAGCGAAGAGTAGCGGCTCGGAAGGCAAGCCCCAACTCATCCCCCCCCTCCCCCTCGAGAAGATTCGCACGGCGCACAGCACGCCCCTTATTGCCTGCTGCTTCCATCGCACCAAAGCCTGGACATCCAGTAACAAGAGACTCACACGTCAGAGATGCGGTCCTCGCTCAATATTCCGAGACAAGGACGTCAATGAGGCGTCGTCGTCGTCGGGCGATTCATCCGCTGGAATGCCGTCTTTCCGCCAGTCTGAGACATTAGCGAGAACCCCCCGGCATGAGATGCCTCCTCTGATACCAATGGAGAACTCCAGCAGCAGCCCCCACCACATTTGCGTCTGTGAGGAATGCAAAATGACTACACTGGGACGCCGCAGCCACCCTGCCGTCAATGCAGCGTTTCTCGTCCGCAGCACGTCATCGACAATCCCTTCCTCTCGCTATCTTGTTACCCAGCCTCCGCACCTGAGCCTCAGCAGCGACAATCTCGGATCTATGCTGAGTGAGGAGCCGGTGCTCTGTGGTGAGGAGGATGCCGCGGCATTCGACGAAGGGCCCCCTCCTGCTGATGTTCCCATAATGCCCCTCCACCGCTCTGTCTATTCTGAGCAGATACCGTCTCCAATGATGCCTGTGGAGCCCGCTAAGCCTGCCGTCTCATGTCAGAGTTCCGCTGCACCGTGTGTGGCCAGCCCCACCGACGCATCGAGCCTCTCTGTCGATGAAGATGAAAAGAGAGACCCATCAACGCAGAGGCCTAGGCAGCGGTTCCATCTCAGGCTGACCATTCCACTGATGAGACCGAGAGACACCAGACAGCAGCAGCAGCGAGAATCGTCACAGAAGCCATCTCCCTCTCTGTCTGTCGGTTCTGGCCTGGCGACGGCAAAGGTGCCATTTCTTGCCCCACCCGACCGCCATTCGCCGTTTCAGACACCCAGATCCCCGTCTAAGCTGATGATGCACACTTCGCCCATATTTCGGATTGTTAGAGTCATGAAGGGGTGACCGTGTGCGTGCCTTTGTGGATGTCGGGTGGATTGGTTGGCAGCGAGAGAGACAGATAAATATGATGATGGCAATTTTTGTACACGTACACACGGTCTGTCTGGTCATCTCCAGACACAGGAAACGAGAGCCCACAGATTCACGTCATGCCATACTCCAATCGTATCACACGCTGATACAAGAAACATCCCTCCTTGCCTGAGCTGCTGCGCACAGGCTGTGCTTCCGTCCTTATCAATACACTACATATGCCCACATGTCATATGCATGGCATGGCCTGGCCTGGCCTACCTACCGTCCAATCGTACTGACCGCCCTCCCTCTTTGCGTCCACAGAGGCACCGACGGCTGCCTTCCAATCATAGCATATCGGCCACCATAGTGAGAGAACACCAAACAGGAGGAGGCATAGAGCCGCCGCTGCGTCATCATTCTCCCACTGGCCTGTTGAGAGTCCGCTAGACGTGACACTGTTTCCAGAATGCGCGATCCGTCCAGCGCTGGATAGTACTCGACCATCTTGTCTCCTCTCTCCGCCTCCTTGTCCTTGTCAGCCGCTCGGTACGCCTCCCCCTCTTGTGTGGTTGTGGCGTCCTGCTTGTCGGCGTCTGATGCTGGTGGAGGGGAGGAGGGTGGGGACCTTTTGATGCTGAATGGGTAGTTGCCGCGCATGAGGTGGTTGATGTCGGCCAGCACCCAGTCAGACGCATCGTACTCCTCGTCGCGCGTCACACCAGCACCGGGCTCCTCGTGGGGCATGTTAGTGGGCTCGAAACTGCACAGATGCATTACCCGTGTGCAAGGTGTGTGTGGTGATCTCCATCTGCGCAAGCATGTACCTGAGCGATGGGTGTCTGGCGCTCAGCTGTGACTCGAATCGCAGGCAATGCTGAGCGGTCGTCTGCTCCTTACGCCCCAATACTACCTGCACACACGTACGCAGGACACACAGACGACCTGCACACAGACACGAGCACATGTGTAAGCGAGTGCGTACGGTGGGCGGCTCCTTGGTCGGGTTTTCGACGTAGAATGTCTGCAGGACTTTGAGCACGCAATCGACCTGCACCAGACAGCCCCGCTCCAGCAGTGCCTGCACACACACACGGTTGCATGGCATGGAGGCGTACACGGGTATGTATACGTATCCATGCGCAGGCAGCTTTTCTTCTCCTGTGTACGTTCATTACGTCTCGGATGTCCCTCTGCGTCTGAGGGAATGGGCTGGTGCGGGTCTGACAGAATCAGAGAGACGACAACCAACATACTTCACGTGGGCAGTCAGGCCGCTCACCCTCTGCATGTCTTCCTCTTTCAGTATGATCTGCTGGCCAAACGACTCTGCACACAAACACACGCACACACACGCACACACGTGTGTATGCGTCCACGCTCATGTGCGTGAGGGTTTGCTGATGGCTCACGGATGACTTTCCGATCGGCGATGTCGTCGCCTCTCTCAGCACCTGTTGATCGATCAAGGGACACAACACGTATGTGTCTGTTTGTACTGTGCGAGTAGATGAATGCATCGTACCCACGAAAAGGGCCACCCGGTCGACCTCCACTGATATAGCCTTCTGCACCTCGTGGTGGATCTGATACGTACGCACGGCAACACATAGCAGACACACACACGGGGGATAGTCATGCGTGTGTAGTGTGCAAGTGAGCTCCACTCGTACCTTCCACTCTCTGTCTTTGACCTTCTTGAGGACCGGTGCGAAGGTGGACGCCAAAGACTCCTCACAGCAGTGGCGCAGCGCATTCACATCGATGGGATTTAAACTCTCAGCCACATACCTGCCATGCACACACACACGCGTGCAGTCACGTCAGCTCTCTCTATACTCCAGTCAGTATTCCCCTTCAATCTCACCCACCGCAGTGCCGCCAAGCTGCCGGCCGCGAAATTCGTGTAGAAGTTGTCGAAGTACACCGGCGCCATGTTCCGGCAGTGTGTGAGCGCCAGCCAGTTGAAGATCCACCGCTGCAGCAGCCCGCTGTGTCGCACCGACGGCAGGCCGCCGAGAGCAGTCAGCGGTGCCATCCACTCCATATCATTATCGTTGCCGCTGCTGTTGTTGGCATCTCCGCTGTCAGGCGAGGGGGCGGCGCCGGTCGATGTTGACGCTTCCGAGCAGAAAGGACGCACCCAGCAACGAGCCGGTATTCGGCGAGAGAGCAAAGGACGCAGCATCATGGCCCCCCACACACGGGCGCTGCTCCGTGGGCGCAATATATCAGTACATGATTTTGGTTGCCAGGTTTGACCCCGGGCTGCGAGCTTGAAAGAGATCCTCATTCACTCATTCATTTGCGTCGCATGAAAATGCATCCATGGAAACGATTAGCAGGGACCAGGGCGGGTGTCTGGCACAGATCTGGAATGGCTTGCAATGCCGATTCTCTTTCAAAGAAGGTCTCATGCATGTACAGAGAGCTCTGTCCACAAAACGCCTCGTGCAATCGAGACAAATCACTTGATGCACAGTACAAAGTACTCTGGCAGTGCCAGATTATGAGCAATTCGTCAAAATCCATCCAACCCAACGGGGCAGGGTAGTCTCGCGCAGTTTAGCGGCGTCACTGAGGACAGAGAACACCACACACCAGACAAATGGCACATCCATCCATCCATCCATCCAATCGTTCCGTCCGTGCACCCGACGCCTCCTACCGAATTTATCCTCACAGTGACTGTGCTGTACTTCTGACCCCCATATTTCGGTGTCAGAGTGCAGCGGACAGCCCTAGTCGCCCTCAGAATCTCCAGCTCCTGGCGCACCATGCCAAGCAGCAAAGTAGTCTTGCCGAAGTCTTCGGGGAAGGTCTTGATCTCTGCCGCCTCGGATCCCACCAAATCACACGCGGCGATGAGCAGCGGCTCATACCGGAAGTCTGTGCCACTCATGGTGCTACTGGGCACGTTCAGGAGCCCCAGTGCGACCCTGTTGGCCACGCGCCGCATCACCTCCTCCCTTCGCGAGGCCCGTTGCTCTTCTGATGGCGGTGGGCCCTGCAAATCACTCTCGGACACCTGATGCACATATCAGCAACGGAACGCATCGCAATGCGTGTGTGTGTAGGCGCAACGAACGTGTGCTCATGCAGTGTGCTGACATTGATGCCGAAGAAGCGCATCTCACGGACCACCTTCCGCGCGTCGACGGAGCGTCGATGAGCAGCGGCAGTCCATCTCGGTAGAAGTCGAGGACATAGGGGAAGAGCGCCGGATCACGGTCGATGAAGACGGGCTGCCCCAGCTGCACTTGCTGATATTCGGCTGTCGACTCGTTGGTCACCAGCTGACCCAGCAGCGTGTGTGAATGAATCGCCAGTGTCGACTTGGCCACACTGAACTCACGACCGCCAACATTCAAACGCACAAAGCTCGTCATCTGCAGAGATTCATTGACACACACGGACAGTTGTTAGAAATGCTGCTGACCGTGGTGAAGTGCTCTGCTTACGGAGATATCTTGAGTGATGGCAGCAGTAGGTGCGTCGATTCAAGTGATGTCAGCGCATTAACAGAACACCTCCGCCTCATTAAAGCTGCGAGCTTGAAAGAGATCTTCATGGAAGCAAAAAGAGGAGGAAATGCGCGTTTTCTGCGCGGGCATGGTTCGGTTGTTCAATGCCGTGCCCGTCTTTCTTGTACTTCCCCAAGCGACTCATTCCTTTTCGCCCACGGCGACAGATCAGGTCGTCCTCTGTCGCAGCACACCGCCGCACAGATGGCAGCAAGCGCAGGTTAGAAAGAGACCATGCCGCCCACTGCATGTCTGTGTGTGTGTGGGCATGCAGGTGAGCCAAGATAGAGGCGACAGGCTGACGGGCTGGCGTTTTATGTGGAGAGGGAGAGGGCGACCTATGAGCACATCAATGCACTGCAGAAGCAGGTCAACGACCTGCAGACGCAGCTGCAAGACAAGGAGAGACAGCTGCGGCGGCTGGAGAGGGAGAGGCAGGCCGAGGAGACTATCGTCCACGTCAAAGGCGAGCCGCACCTCGATGCTGATTAGATGCATCGATGGATGGATGGTTGTGTGTATGACCGCGCTTGTGCAGGGTTGCTAAGCAGCATCAGATTGCCCTCAGTCAACCTGAGTTTGCGTGAGGGGATGAAAAAGGCCACGTTGGGAGTCACCAAGCTCGTGTTGGGGCTCGCCTTGCTTTATCTTCCTGTCCTAGGCGTGCTGCTTCCTTTCAAAGATTCCGACGTCCTTCCCGCGGCCGTTGTATCTGTCCTTTTCTATGTCCTGCCTCGATTCTTTCTGGGCTGGTTCTCTATCGTCGTGTGTGAGTTCTGTGTGTTTGCGCTGTGGGGGATGCTGGAATATTTTATGGAAGGAGAATGAATACGAAGTGTGACGTGTTCATATTCCTTGGCGTGGCTCTCACTTATGTCCGCATGCACAGAACTGTGTCCGCGACATCTCTGGAGTTTCTTTTGGAGTTTCTTTGTTGCCGTCTTGGGGGAGGTGTTGGTGTTGTAGCTGTGGTACATGTTATGAAGATTTTGGAGGAATGAAATGAAAGATGGGCATGTAACCTCATGTGCTAGCAACTGCTCATCGGCCACTGTGTGACGCAGAGCACTCACTCAGAAGGTCAATCACGTCTGAATCAGACGAGCTGAATCAGACGCGCGCACCTTCGGAGAGACGATATGCATCAATAAATGGAGTAGAGTGCAGACGATGTCTCTAGACACACAGATAGACTCAGCAAGAACAGCATACAACGGGGTGTATGCATCCGATCATGCATTACATCAACTCCATCTCGCACCTATCTGCCTAAGTTCACATGGCCAACACCCCAAAGCCAAGAACCAAGACCGTCACGACAACCACCTGCACTCTATATTCGTATCCATTCCGCCCAGTCGCTTTGCCCGCCGGAGCAGTCTGCTGCCCGTCACCCCAGGTGAAGGAGAAGAAGGGCTCTGCGGGAGGGGTCTGGGTGCTCTCCTTCTCTTCTGTCTTCGGCTTCTCTTTCGCTTCCGTCTTATCACTTGTTGTGTCTTCACTCTTTGCTTTCTCTTCATGTTTATCTGTGGCTTTGGACTCGACGGGTGTCTCACCCTCAGTAGCCGCTCTCCCATTCTCCGGGCTGGCCTCTCTCTTCTTAGCACCAGCTTCAGCACTTCCTTCCTTTTCACCAGGTGGCGTCTCTACTTTGTCGTCTTCCTGCTTGGCGGGGGGCAGGCTCATATTCTCTTTTGTTGATGCTTGTGTCTCGGCAGGCTGAGGTGCATGGCCCTCTTCCTTCTTGGCTGCTGGTTGTGGAGATGGAGGCGGGGAGGGGGCTGGGGCTACGTGTGTTGGGCCCTTAATGACCGGTGTCACCAACCCATTACACTCTGCACACCCATACAGGCGAGTGAGATAGGCGTTGTTGTCTTCTGCCTGACCCGTTCTCCTACTTTTCTGTGTCTTCTCAGCGGCGCTCCGTGTCGTCTCGTCAAAGGGGCTCCACTGCAGCTGCTTGGACGCCTTGAACACACAGCAGGGACGAGACACCGTTGTGCCCTTGTCGCCACCAGCTTTCGTGTCAACAAACTCAAACAATGCGCCACCGGCCGAGGGATAGCGAAATGTGACAGAGGGTGGTGCTTCCTTCTTGTGTAGGTGGGCTGGGAGGTCAGCGGCAGCAATTGTCTTCTTTTCCGTCTCTCGCTGTGGTGGTACTGGCGGTGGTGTAGGCGGTGTCGACTTCTCGATAGCAATCCAGCCCTCTCCTTCTTTTCCTTTTTCAGGCACAGGTTTGGACGGCATGATGAGTGACGTCAATGGAATATCTTCGTTGTGCAGGTTATGCATGGGCATCTCCTCTGGCGGCGGATCGAGCTCACTCCCCCGCTGCAGAATGTCCACCTCTTCCTCTGAATCGCCCTCTACTTCATCATTCCGGCGGTCCCTCACCGAAGGGCCGACGGTGCTTGTTTCCTCGATGAAGGACACCGGCTGTGGACGTGACTCAGCCGGCTTTTCGCCCAGTGTCAGCAGCTCGATGCCGGACGGATTTTCTGTATACATGCCAGCGTCCTGATCAGCCTCAGCATCATAGCTAGCTGTAAGCCTCGTCGACGGAGCACATCCCTTACACGGCGCCACGAGCGGCGATGTCTCTTGTGTGTAGGGGTTGCGGGAGCGAGTGGTGCCAGCGGATAGTGACAGGGCATTTGACAAGGACGACAGGATGGGCTGATCAAAGAAGCCGCCTGTGGATGACTGGAGGAGGCTGATGGGTGGTGAATCGGCGGAGACAGCTGGCGGCACAAGGGTCACATTCTCTATGCGAATGATCTGTCGACACCAAACACACACGTATATCCCGATCAGCTGGTGTTGCTGACCTTTAGTGTGTTGGAGAAATCATCGACCGACGGCGCTGTCGTCATCCGGCCAATGGAGACCTTGACAGCCTCGCGCACCTTCGCCAAGAGTGTCGCCCTTCCCTCTGGCGATGCAAGCGGCAACAACACGCCCTGAGCCACAGAGCGCACACGGATGTTCGCGGCACACAGATAGGAAAACATAGAGAGACGTCCCCTTCTCCCCACTGACCTTGACGTCGCTCCGTCGCCTCGCAGCTGTGGCAAGGAAGACATCAATTATTGACACCCCGCCACCTGCCTCCCCTCGCTGCCGCATCTGCATGACGGACAAGTCAGTGGCCGACACATCCTGGCTCCTCATCAAGTCAGCCAGTGCGGTTGCTGCGGTGGCCTCGAAGGATGCGGCAATCCACCGACACGCAGAGGACGGCAAGGGAAGGGGCGACGGCGGGGAGGAAGGAGAAGGCTTGCTCACTGAATCTTCTTGTCGAGCCGGAGCGTTCTTGCCCTGGTCTGTGGTGGCGTGTATTGGTATCCATTCACCGCCGGTCTTGGGCTGAGGCTGTGGCGGGGGCTGTGACATGTCTCTGGGAGTAAGGTCCTTGTCTGAAGGCTTCTGCTCCTCACTCGGTGTTTGTGGTGGAGGCACTTGCGTTTCCGTGTGTCTTGTACCTTCCTGGCTTTTGAGCGCCGGCGGAGCCTTGTCATTCGCCGGTAGTGGCTGCTGTGCGTCGGTGGGGGCGTGATTCGCCGGTTGATTTGGCGTCGGTGGTGCTGTGTGGGACGTGTTGAGGGCTGTGCTCTGAGCTGCCTGGGCGAGTGCCGTGGGGACGCGTGTATGATAGCGATGGCCCCGGCGTTGTCGCTGCTTGTGTAAGAGTAGTGCACGAAAAAGATAGAGGAGCAACAGCTGCTGATCCCGGTCCGCCCGGAGACCTGTAGAAAGGAGACCACAAGCCGTGTGTGTCGTGTCTCCTCACCCACCCAACACTGACCGATTCCGCGTCGTGTCTTGATGTAGCTCGTGTGTTGGCTGCGGTGGCTCTTGACGTCACGCATCACCGACTGCGATCGCTGAATGAGGGATGGCGCTGCTTGTGAGGCAGGCCAGCTGTGCATTGGCTCACACTCCATCAACAGCGAGAAGCTGACGCCATAACGACCTGCACACACGCGCAGAGACATAAAAGACCAGATAGCATGCATCAGTTCTGTGACTGCCCTCTCTCTCTCTCACCATTCTTGACGCAGTGTCTCCCGACACCCTCGCCCGTGCACGCCAGACCAGGGTCCTCTCCCCCACCAAAGTGCGGATAAGCACCCACTAAACCGCACCTGCCCACGTTGGTGTTGCACGCGAGGGGGTGGGTGTGGATGAGGCCGTCGCACTGGTGGGGGAAGCAGTCCACGCGCGACTTGAGACCACAAACCTGGAACGTGATTGACTGAAGACGAACAAATGGACGGCGAGGACACCTGTTGAAATGTCTGCTTGGTTCGTGGAGAACACTCACTCGATTCGTGTTGGACGAGGGATCGTTTTGTTGTTCCAGCTGGCACATCGACGGAATGGTGCTGTTTCCTTTTCTCGCTCCCCATCTCAGTCTTGCCAGCCACCTCCCTAGCAGCGCGGCGGCGCGCCCGAACCTCTCTGCCTTCGCCTTTCCCTGTCTCCTTCTTGACTCGTCCCTGGCCCTCTGCAGCATCTGCCCGTGCGACAGCTTCAAAAGACGACCCAGCCACCCCTCCTGGACCATCGCGCTCGGCAGCAACACCTTGACGCCACTGTCGCCTCTGCTCGTGTCTCGGTCGTTCGGTGGACAGTGATACGATTGGTTGGTAGTCAGCTGCTCCAGTGGCGGTGCGTGGGGGTCCAGGGCACGCAGTCGCTCGTAGACACCAGCGATCTCGTTGGCCAGAGGTGCGTGGAAGGGGGAGGGAGATGTGCACTCGGACGGAGATGACTCGGTTGGCACTGGCGATGAGCCCACCCTCACAGCCGCACCCATCTCGACCTCCTGCACACGATCGCATTGTTGCCGTGGTATGACCGTTTATCTGCATACCAGAAGTGCGGTGTGTGGATGTGCAGCCTCCATCATATCGTCGTGCACGGAGAGGGCACTGCGGGTGATGGGATGTAGAAGGGCGGGACACCCAGGTACTCAGACATGCCCAGCACAAACAACTGATTCATCATACAAGCATCCAGCATGGATGCGAATGCGTTTGACGGTGTATCTGCCTCACTTGCTGTCTGTGTATGTTGAGGAACGAGCACAGTTCAGCGCCGGCACGGATGGTCCATAGGAAACGAAGTTCTTGCCGATCTGCACTCATGAACGCATACGCAATCAGCATCTAGAACAATCATTCAATCAGCTTACGTGTGGTTGATGTGCACCGGCACACATAGGGATTCCACTCCTCCTCCAGCGGACAAAACTCGCACTCCTCCCCTTCGTCAGATTCAGCTGCTTCCCTTTCCGACGGGAGTGGTGGGGGTGGAGCCTCGCCGTCTTTCTTCTGTGGGTGTGCAGGAGCGACAGAAGGAAGCTGGAAGGGCAGCTTCTCTTTTGCCTCTTCTCTCTGTCGTGGTGGTGTCACACGAAGTGAAGTCACGGATGGCGGTGGTGCGGTCGGCTCCATTTTCTTGTCTTCTACTGTCTTGACGTCTTCTACTGTCTTGATGTCTTCTGCCTTCTTGGCCACCAGTGTCGGTGTCGGCTTTGGGGTGGGCGTAGGCTTTGGTGTGGGTGACGGTGATGGTACCGCGAGGTTGCGGAAGACATCGAGTGGCGGCAGGGTCAGGTTGCCGTACAGACTTGTACTGTACAACATGCCTGGAAAAGGCAAGGTCAGCCATAGAGACATGGACTTCTGTCTGCAGGCATCGCACATGCATACCGTTGTCCCGCATCTGCTGACGGAAGGTTTTTGAGTCGCGGTAGATCTCATCAGCCTGTATGAAAGAGTACGCCAAACACCATCAATCAGTGTTCGTCCTTGCTGGTGTGGTTTCAATGACTCACTCGTTTGGCGACGTCGAGAATGCTCTCGATTGTGTTCGCGAATCGGGTGGTGGCGCTCTCCACCTACACATCAAGCATTCCATTTATCCATCCGTTCATCCATCCACCCCACACACAGCCAGCCAGCTAGCCACCCACCCACACTCTGATACTCACCGCCAGGCCGATGACTCTCGTGTCGTCGTGCTGATTCACCCTTTCCTCCTTCTTCATTTCGTCTCTCCCACCGACAGCCAGCTGCACAAAGCTCGATCCCTTCCTGTCGGCTCTTAGCATGGCGGGTGCGTTGAGCAGCGTCATGATGGGCCAGCTGGTGAGCAGCGAACGAGGCGAGAAATCAACCACGCGCCTGGCATCGATGAAGCTGGACTGCGCTGCTGTGGGTGGAGGGGCTGCTGTTGTGGTGGTTGTGGTGGGTGTGCTGGTTGGTTGGGCGGTTTGCTGTGGTTTGAGCTCATGTGTTTGCTGTGGTTTGAGCTCATTGACTACCTTCTCAAAGACTTGTGCTGCTTTCTCCCGCACCTGCCATACAAATCAAAATGTGTCTCTGTGTATGGAAAGCTGTGTGCTTGCCTCCCTGACGATGTGCCAGCACTGGTTGAACAACTGCGTGAAGCTCGCGTCATCAACCCTCAATACATACGTATATGGGGGCTGCATGGTCGACACAACAGACACGTGTCTCACTGATGTGTCTCATCCCTCTCTGGTCTCACCTGCCCGTCTCTTTGCTTCCTCTCGGCTTTGGTATGTGCGTCCACCGAACAGCCGATTTCACACAGCAGAGCCTCGTAGAAGGACAAAGTCGGCAGCTGACACTCCAGCGCGTATCGGGCCATGACACACATCGACTTGTCCAGCTCCTTCTCTTTTTTCTGCACCGCAGCCGCCGCTCCCATGTCGGTGTCCTGCAGCAGATGTATCAGATCCGGGATGAAGCTAGATGCACGGTTGGCGAAATCAGACAGCCGGGCACGCTGCATGAATGGAAGGGAAGGCATGCATAAGATGTCAGATGTGAGGTGTTGCCTCACGTGGGGAAGTATCACTGCGGCCACTCTGTCCAAGTAAGAGGCGCGGCAGCACACAGGGGCGTCTCGGTAGCGAAGACACATCGTGCTCGCCGCACCCGCCTGACACACACACACATGGACCAGCCATCAGCCATCAACCTTCAACAATTCTTTTCCCCTTTCGTGTCTTGCACCTTGGGAAGCGTTTCTGCCTTCATCCGATGGAACTCTTTCCCACTCTCGCCGTGGGGCTCATGCCCATCCCTGACACCGCCCTTGGTGCCGTTCTCCTCCTGTCGATACACGTCCACCGCCTCACCCACCCCATCGTAATAGCCCTCGGCCACACTCACGCCATCAGCAAACACTGACCGCACCAAATCTGGACCTCTGCACTGCTCGCCGTCCGGTGCCGCGGTATTTCTCTTGCTGCTCTCATTCTCCTCTGGCTTGCCAGATGTTGGTGCAGATTGAGCCAGCTGCAGCCATTGATGTGCTGCTGGCAGGGCAGTATGCTTGTTCATCTGGTGTCGCGGAGCTGAGGAGGGTGGTAGAGGGACTGATGGGGAGAGGCGGTGGTGTCTGTGCGGCGCCGAGTGAAAGGGATGCGGCAAGGAGAGAGCTGCCGCAGCAAGGAGCATCGATAGGGCGGTCACGCTCATCTGTGTTGGAGAGGAGCCATAGAGCGTGTCCGGGATGCGAGACGGAAACGGCCAGGGCCCCCATGGCGAGAATGATCGAGACGGAATCATTCTGACAGTTTCTTTTCGTCAAACACGGTTCATCCTCTCCCCAGCAATGGCGGCGTCACTGGATGTCGACGCATGGAAATCGACGCCATCCCAGCGGCCCACTACTCGAGTGCCGAGCACCTCCTGTGCGATGGACTGTACACATCCCTCAGTCATCCTTTCCTTCCCTCATCCTCACGCCCTCCCTGCCATCGGCAGCTGTCTAATAGATCCCCACGGCTCCCAGCAGATTCTAACCACCGCCGAACCGCCCCGCTCTGTGGAGTTGAAGCGTCATGGTGCAAGGACAGCATTGTCGATCAAAATAACAGCCGCAGGGGACAGCAGGCCGCAGCTGGCCCTCGAAGGGGGTACCCTCGAAGCACTGAGTTCGGCTTCATCGAAGACTAAGTACGTGATGTCCGTGTGTGTGTGGTGTGCAGGTTGAGGAGGGCACTCCACCGGACCGGCATCCTGGTGCTATCCGCCAAGGACATTTGAAAGGCCGACAAGAACTGGCCATACAAGTGCCTCTGGAAGGTGAAACACAGTCAGACACACACACCCAGTCAGACACACACACCACGCCCACACACACCCATGGTGTGGTGTGGCTTCTCTGTCCGTGCTGTGTCATCCATTCATTCAGCGTCAGTGTTTCGCTGAGCTGCTGGCCTACCTCCACGAAGAGGATGTGATGCCGTGGCGGGTGATATCCATCGGGGACGCGGAACGGGACCTCTCTGCGCTCGAGTGGAACAGGCTGTAGCTAACCAAGACACACACACACACAAATTCAAATTCTCGTGCAATGGCAGCGCCGATGAATGTTCATCATCAGCAGCAGGTCCCACCGCATCAACAAGAGTGGAAGACCTAGGAAGCTGTAGGCGCATAGTCGCCTTCGAGGACGCGCCCCGTGACGCGCAGCAGTGGCGGCGTCTGCGAGACGACCAGGGCGAGCCAGACGCCGCCGGGTCGGACGGCGTCGTGGTCGAGATGGAGGGTGTGCAGAGCCCGGGCAGCAGAATAGCCCTGAAATACGCCCGCTACAGCAACCGCAATGCCGCCATCGCCCAGGAGGCCAGCACCCTGGCTGCCCTGAGTCGCAAGACCGACGCGGTCCCCGGCTACTACGGCAGGGTCACACTGCCTTTCGAGGGACATGCGCATGGAGTACCTTGAGCCGCTGCAGCAGCAGGCGGCCGCCAACCAGGGCGTGGCGCCGGTGGGTGTGTTGGCGGTGGGGGAGAGGCTAGTGGTGTCCGGGGAGGCCACACTCGAGTATTTCGCCCATGTGGTACCGTATGCACCCATCACCCATCCGATCCACACACATGCACCTACCTACCTACCTAGACGGAACGTGCATCAACACAACACGTGCATGCAATGCATGTGTGTATCATATCGTGTGTGTGTATGCAGATGTCGAGCACCAAGGAGTTGCACAAGGCCGGATACCTCAACCGCGACCAAAGGCCTGACAACCGTAAGCAAACCACCTACACCAAAGCGCCCGTTGAACCGTCTACCTCTCTGTCTGTCTGTCTGTCTGTCTGTCTGCAATGTGTGTGTGATTCGTTCAGACTTACTACCGAGGACCGGCAGGTTGCGCGTGTTGCAGGCCGACTTGAGCAGAGCAGAGGCCTTCGTCGACCGCCATGGAGCTCAGCCGCCGTTCGTCGGCCGCAACTCGCAGCAGGAGATGCAGAAAGTGTCGGCGCAGCTCTGCCAGTACAGGAGACTCGTCAAAGCCATCCGCGACCTCGTGGATCAATGTCTGCTTGCAATGATCTTCACAGTACGCAGACAGTGGATCGATGCACCCCGCAACCATCGCGTGTGCATCCGTGTTGTGTTGTGTTTGGCGCTTTCTGCCTGCAGCGACAGGTCGTTGTGAGTGCGCTGAGGGACTTCTCGCTCTTCATGATCAAACTCACGCGCGCCGCAGACCCGATCTTCAACGAGCCGGAGAGAGAAGGGACACTGAGCGAGCACATCCGCTTGGTCTCGAGCGAGTTCTGCGTGTGGGTACGTAGGGATGGATGATATCTCCGCACACGACACATGTGTGCTGTTTGTCTTGATTCAGCTGCCCAATCTGCTCGTACTGCATCACATGACGTGCCGCGACACCGACTACAGCGACACACTGCTGCAAGAGGTGGCACCCAACCTGATGCGCCGAAAGGCGGCGACGCTGGCGCGGCTCATGCGGAACTACGACCACATGCGAGCGATGTTCGCGGTATGTGGATGGATAGATGTACAGTACTATGTGTGAAGACACATCCGTGAGCGTTTGTCTGTGTTGCTCGGGCAGTCGAACCTCAACATCGATGTCAACGAATTCTTAGGCCGAGTGGTGTCGCGGCTGTGCGACGGCGATCAGAGATGGCGGGAGGGGCTGGTAGGCAGCAGCCAGGGGGATGGCATGATGGCATGGCGTCTATGAGAATGTGTGTGCATGCTGTGTGCCAGGACGCCCAACATGAGCAGCTGTTGGACGACTTCTACCAGATCGTCCTGCCACTGGCCACCGTGGTGGCGCTCGAAGACCGGGCCAAATTCAACACCATTGCCAAGGTAAAGACGACATCAGAGAGACTACAGTCCTGGTCTGTGAAGTGTGTGATGTGTGTGTGTGTGTGTGTGCCTGCTGTCAGTTTGTGGCGTCCATGTTGAACGACAGGATCAACCCGCATGGACCTGCTGCTGCTGCTGCTGCTGCCGCAGCCACGGGAGCGACGGGCGGTGGCCCGCCGAGCGGTGGCCCGCCGCCTCATGGGCCGCATCGGCTGACTCGGTGAGCGCGGGTGGGCTGGTGTCGGCCGGTGTGCATACGTGTCTATGTGTGGATGGTTCGTGTGTCTTGTGTGGTTCAGGCAAGCTCCTCACCGTCAAGTGACCGGGCCACGCCGTGCACCACATGAAAGACCATCTAAGTGCTTCTCAAGTACCACTCCCGCGTCATGTATAATATGGACATCGACATTCATCACGGGGATGGTGTCGAGGAGGCATTCTTGATCACACCAAGGTGACCATACAAAGACATGGTGGGACACGTGTATGCGGTTCTCTCTCTTTCTAGGGTAATGACGGTGTCGTTTCACAAGTATGACGGCAAATTCTTCCCGGGCACAGGAGACCTCACCAACGTCGATTGATTCATCGCTGCTTCCATTTTATATCTGACGGTCTTGTGGGCAAACCATCTCGCCCCCGCGTGTGTCTGTGTATCTCTGCATCCATTCACGCGACGATGGGATATTGTTGGCTTCTTCCATACATAGAGACATAAAGGAAGCGTTCCTTGGCACATGAGCAGTACAGACCCGACGCACCCATAGGTAGGTGGCCACGCTGTTTGTGTAGTGTGCCCATGCTGCCGTGGAGGCTAACAAAATATCCGTCAAGAAAGGAAACCCGCGATTGCAGGAAGATCCGTCTCTCTCTCTCTCTCTGTTTCACACCCCCAGCCGATCGGCCTATACCTGCACATTCGACTGGGCCATTATTTGCCTTCGAGAGACCTTTTAAGTATGCTTATTCGTCTCTCTTGCGTGAGGAGAACTCTGCCTGCTGGTCGGCCGTCCGTCGGGTGGTGCTGGGCTGGAGGGAACACTATGTGCAGAGAGGCCATCCGATGTGTCAGTCAGTCCGGTGCAAATCGATGCCTGTCTGCATTTTATGTGTGTGTGCACGGACTCACTCGGTGATTGATAGGATGACCTAACCAAGCAATTAGGCACGTACAGGTGCGGTGCATTCTGACTGTCGTCACGAATCATCCATCCCATCCATTCGTCGAACAGTGAGTGAGAACACACCCACCCACCCATCTATCTATCTCGAGAACACACCCACCCACCCATCTATCTATCTCGTCTGTCTCACCTCTTCTCGGCTCAAGCTGCTTAAGGCACCTCGACTCATGTACACGACGACACGGCCGAAAATCCATCACCCACTCCCACACCGACACCCACCCCCACCCCCACCCGCAGACCGCCCAGACTCTTGCCACCTCCGTCAATGCCACACACCGCCCTCTCCCTCTCCCTCCCCCTCTCCCTGTCTCTGTGCTGCGTCTCGTCATCTCTCCCAATGTCGTGTTGAGATGGGCCATGCGTCTTCCGTGACGGCGCAGATGTGCTGTGAGGGAGGGGTGGCCGGGCGGGGGGCGGCAGGGGAGGGCCAGGCCGGTCAGGCGGCGGCACTGACGTCATTGTGGGCGACACGGGGGTGGACCGTGTGGCAGACCGAGGGCAGGATGAGGAACACACAGACACGGAAGATAAGACTGCATTCATTGTTGGGGGTGGGTAATCCACACACACATACACATACGCGGAAACCGTGTACATACACGTGAATGAGTGATGGCGGTGATTTCCCCTTTCACCTTGTGTGCTGGCTGCGCTGCTGGCAGCGTCAGCGTCATTGTCATTGTTGGCCACGATCCCCACAGCTTTGGACAGGAAGTCACACATCACCGCCGCCCCACCAGCTGCCTCGTGCTCATCATCCTCCGCACCGCCGCCATCCGGTGAGTCGTCGTCATGGCCCAGACGCCGGCCCTCCCTCTCCACCTGTCTGTCCCCTTGTGGGTCGCTCTCGTCTTCGCTAGAGTGGTGGCTGAATGTCTGCAGCTCCACCTCAGATTGGGAAGATGCTGCTGCCGCTGCTGCTGCTGCTGCTGCTGGGCTCACGTGAGAGTGGTCACGCGATTGGGGCACTGTTGGGGCGCTCACCACTGCACACGTACGCAGCGTACAGTGGTGGCGTGTCTCTGTCTGTCTTTGTGTTTGTGTCATGCATTCTCACTGACTGACCAGTGTGTGGGTGTGGGGCAGGGGAACTGTGTGTGCGGATGGTGTCGATAGTGTGGCCGGCTGCACCAGCAGCGCCACCGCTGCCCGTCCCCTGGACGTCTTCAGGGTCCTGTGAGGGGTCTTCAATCAGCCGCCGCCTCAGCGCCAGGGTGGCCGACCACGGCAAAGTCAGGTCACTACTCAGCAGCAGCAGGGCCCAATACGCCACGTACAGCAGCAACAGCAACACGCACATCAACATCCTGCACACACACACACACGTGCGCCTATTTGATGGTGCCTCTCCCCTCTCCCTCTCTCTGTGTGTTCCGCCCCCACTTACCCAGTGTTTTGCACTCGTGTGAAGTAGGGGTCTCTGGTGTCGGAGAAGAGCATGTTGGCCATGAGAATGAGGGCAAACTCAAATGACCTCAGGTGGAAGAGCACCCGGCAGTGTCGGGTGTTGCGCTGCACGCGGTCCTCGCTGGCGCTGAGGAGGGCGTAGGCCCCCACGAGCATCACGGCGATGCCGATGACGAAGTTCTTGAAAAAGCTGTTGTTGAACGTCAGACAGATGCACAGCGCAAAGACCTACACACACACACACAGAGAGAGAGAGAGAGAGAAAACGAGGGATGGAGGATGAATGAACTATACAGGTCGACACAGGCAGACAGAGAGAGACGAGGCGTGCCACAGCAACTACCTGTCCGAAGAAGATGCAGCAGAAGCTCCATGGCCAGAATATCCTTTGGCCCACCAGACAGAGCGTCACGATCCGCAGCTGCACGTCGATCATGTGGAGGCCGCCGCTCAGCACCAGACGCACCACAGTGGACCGCCGACTCAACTCGCGCAACGGCTGATCGGGCGAGTGACGCTGATACATACACAGGCGAGAGATCCATCCATGTGTGCAGGTGAGTGAGGTGGCCATGGGTGTGAAGGCAAGCACCCACCTGTATGTCGCTGATGAGGTTTTTGGTGAGTGTGGCGGCGACTGTGAGGGAACAGAGAGTGGCACCCACGGCGTTGAGGACCAACACGAAAGGGGCGACAGAGTCAGGCTGACTCGTGCCAGGAATGATGTTGCCGCCGGACGCTAGACATCACACACCCACACACACACACCCACACACACACGTACGTGTGGACGAGCAATGTGGGTCCACCGTGTGTTGCGTGCTGTGCTCACTGGCCAAGAATGCACTGTTTTGTGCGTAGATGAGTATGTGGTTGTAGAAGAAGCAGAGGGGCAGGTTGGCGAAGGGGATGGACACGTGGTGGAACTCCTGCAGCTTGGGGGGCTCCTCAACCGCATCCCAATTCGCATACGCCTGCATGCACCCCATTAATTAAATTAGTGAGTAAGGGGTTACGAATGAATGCATAAGTCCATCAAAGTGCGTCCATCAATCCAATCCCCCATGAGCCAAAAGCACTGCTGGTTCTTGCTTGCCTCAAGGAAGGGATGCGCCCCAACGAGAGCCGCCCCCACCCACCGCAATCGCTGGACACACACGACACAGCAGACATTTCAGCCAGATCTTGGTGATCTGATGACTGATCTGCCCACCTTCTCGTTCAGGTAGAGGATGGCAGAATAGCACCACGCCGTCGTCTGACACAGCACCTGCTCCAGAACACACACACACACACACACACGAAGCAGACATCCGATCTGATCTCCCGTCTGTCTGTCTGTCTAGAGCTGTCTGTGTGTGTGTGTGTGTCGAGTGACTGCTGATCTGATCAGACCAGTGTCCAGAAGAGCGATGGGTATCCCTGGAGGAGGTAGACCACCGCCACGGACGAGTGAAACACCAGATTGGCCACATACAGACCCAACGACAGCGACACCCGATATCGTGTCAGGAGCACGTGCTGGCCCGTCGCCCGCCGCCTCCGCTGCCCGTGGGTGTGCAGCACCCTGCCCACTGCACTGATTGTTCCGCTCGGCGCAGGAGGTATACCCAGCATTTCCGAATCAACCACCTTCCAACTTGTGTGTCATCCAGACACAGACACGGCTCCTCAAAAGCAAAGAAAGAGAGGAGAGATGCGCGCGAGCTGTAAGCTCGCAGTTTTCCGCTGGGGCATTCCGCTGGCATTGCGAACTGCTCGTCTGGAGCATTGCGGGGTGCAAGAGAGAGGAACAAAGCTGGTGAAACTGCCGTGCGCCGAGCGTCAATGGGCAACATCCAATCTCACCTGCAGGAGCTGGGCTTTCCCGGTCTCTTCGACTGCTGCGAAAGGGTCAGCGGCGCGCACAAGACAAGAATGCTGCTCGACGATTTTCTTTCCCTGAGGCTCTTCATTCTCTCTATGTATGCGCGTGTGTTTGTCAAACGTTCAGCCTGCCGTGGACGTGGCGAGTGATGTGAGGTTATTGGATGATCAGGACACACGGCAAACAGCCAACACGAACCCCTTTACAGGGTGAGAGAGATTGAACGGACATGCACTTTGTGTCTATCCTGCTCTCTCTGCTTGTGGTTGGGTTGTTTCTTTGTGCACACAGTGACAAGAACAGGGTAGAGTATTCTCAGTATGCGAGTGCATACAACGGCGCGCCCAGCACCGACACGAATGCCACAGAGGCGACGGCAGCCAAGCCAAACGAGGCGGCGAAACAGTGAGGCGTCGGTACCGACGCCGCCCTTGAATTGAACGTGACGAATGGGTGTGAAGAATGACGTGGCGAACGGATGAGTCTTTATATTAATTTGCAAGTGAGAGGGCGCACTTTTCTTCCTATGCGTGCCTGCCTGCCTGTCTGCTTGTGGTGCTGCCTTGAGTGTCAATCGCGTCGTCGACGCGGGCGAGGCGCTCTTGCCATCTCTTGCCTCCCTCCCTCTCTTGTGTGGCGATTCTGCGTGTGTACAGTCAGTTTCTGCATGTGCGTTGGTTTCGGTGCGAGCTGCACGCTATATGACGTTTTCTTTTTTTTTTGGTTGGTTGGTTGGTTGGCTGGCTGGTTGAATGATGTTCGCTACCGCGCGGCGCACTATGGTGGCGGCCACAGCTGTGCGCGCACATGACTGTGACAGGTGACGTGCGTGTCCGGCTGTGCCCGTCGACCGAGTGCGTTGGCGGAAGGTGAACACATGCATACATACATACATGAAGGTCTTGTAGGACACCGTACGAATGGAGTGTATTTGTTGGCTAGACGATTCAAGTACAGACCCTGGCTGATGTGGGCGAGAGAGGTTCAGTGACGGTGAACAGCTGCTGTTTCGGCGGATGCATCAATTTCATTGTCACATCTCATGCACATCCATCCATCAGGGTAAGTCGAGTACTCAAGTAACGCCCCTTCCCCTCCCCTGCACACATTTATCCAGTAGGCTCATTTCCTCATCCACACACCGCACCAGCGTATCGATAAACCACCGGTACCCATCAGACACGCCATTGCTGCCCTCGCTCGTTGCGGATGGGTCGCTCAAAGACGCTATGACGGTGGAAGACAGAGACCACCAAGCAGACAATCGCTCGCTGCACAACCCCCGCAGATACGATGCCGCCTGACCGCCACACCACAGCCACACATTTGTATGTACTTCGGTGCATTACTCTGGCGCTTGTTGACCTTGCCCCTCTTGTCGCCTGTATCCCCTTCGGCGGCCCCCATCGCATCCACCAGACAGCCGACAGCGGTGTCTGCGTGTGGGTCATCGCCGCGGTAGATGATGCCCGGCTGATCGAAGCTGTCGTGAGTGAGACATGGCGGTGGCGCGGGAGATGGGGCGGGGTGGTCGAAGGGTGGTCGCGTGAGGTCCACGGGCAGGAAGGGGCCGACGGGATTGTCCGCCAATGTGAAGCCATAGGTCAAAAGCAGGCGAAGATTGGAAAATTCGCCGTACGATATAAACACCTACAGCCAGCCAGCCATACACGCACTCCCAGGGCTTCAGGTCATCAATCGCATCTCATCCTGCTTGCTGCAGACTGACCGACCGGGTCTCCTTGTTGGATGGGCCGTGTGGCTCTGACGTCAAAGTAGCCCATCTCGCTCTCCTCGATGGCAGCGCTGAAGACCACACTAGCAGACAGCCCTCGACTCGACAAGAGACGTCTGTCCCCCTCCTCTCCCTCCCCATCTCACTCACTTGTGGTCATAGTGGTGGTTCAGCAGGTCTATCACCGGCATAAACGCATACCCCTCCTCGCCCAGCCAGTGCACCCGCGACCGCAGCAGGGCGTACGCCCACACAATCCTCTCCTCAGTCACCGCGGCACCATCCACCAAATGCCCAAGACGCTCGCCGGCAATGACCGGGATGCGGCTCGTCAGGTTGCGGGCGACCGAAAAGAGTGAGTCATCCGTCATGTTGGCCACCCTCTCCAGGTCGGCAGAAAGGGAAAGGAAGCTGAGGGCGCTGTGGATGTCAGCGAGAGAGGGGAGGGTGGCGAACCATGCCGCAAAGCGTTGGTTCGCGTCTGGGTCGTCGCCCGTGTGCCATTGATGGTGGGCATGCAGGAAGCCCATAAGCAGGGACTCGACGTTGCTGCATCTGAGGGGGCCGGAGAAGGCCTCGCAGGCCTGTATGTGGGGGTGGATCGACCTGTAGGAGAACGTCAGGTTGGCGGGAATCCGGAGGAGAAGATCGTCTGTGGTCACGTCGTTTGCGGCGGTTAGTCCCCTGATGAGTCCCCTGTCAGAAGGGGAGGGCGAGGGGAACGGCGAAGGGGCATGATGGCCTGCAGTGAATCAGCACACCCGCCCATCTGGTAGGTAGGTCTGTCTGTCCATGTTACATACCTACCTGGTATGAGGTGAATGACGGACCCCCACGTGCGCCACTGGGTCAACAGCTCGGTGAGCAGCGACTGTGACTCATCCTGTTACGTTACACACACACCCAGAGAGATACACAAAGAAAGAAACAAAGGCACTAACCATCCGCCGCCATGCTCCCTCCCTCCATCATGCTACCTACCTACCTCGTTCCAGACATAGCTGACGAGGTGGGCGGCGAGTGCGATAAGCACCACCAGCAGCAGCAGCGGTGCCGCCCGCAGCATCCACGACCAATCAGCGCTCCAGGGGCTGGATGCCTCCTCCTCGATGGCATCCATCGGCTCATCCCGCAGCGACGAAAAGGAAGAGCCCGAGTCGGGCGGCGGATGGGTAGACTTGTGGCGATGGCGCACCATTCTCACACCGCGATGCGGTCACCCGTCGATGGAATAGATGTGCAGACGATATCTTCTTCACCTGCACACACAGAGAGGCAGAAAACACACAACGAGATGAGCGGGAGCTGCATACACGGCAGATAGGCGTCGAGCAGACATGCAGATGCAGATGTCGTACCCAGTAGTCGGGCCGTCAAAAGACTCAAAACACCAAAATGACACCATCGTCGGCACACACACAGATCCACGGCGTCAGAGCCACGCCAGATGCGCATGCTCCTTCAGCCACTCCATTTGCGAGCTGTCGGTCGACCGGAGAACAAAACCCAAGAGCAGCAGCGTGTAGCAGGGCGTGAACACAGCAGGCGACCAAGCTGGGAAGAAAGAGCGTCGAGAAACCGACGCTTTGACTGTATTTTCAATTGACCCTCGGCACGCGCAGCCGATGCGTCCCGTGTGAGCTGCTGGCATAACCAGCAGCCTCATCCGGAGCGACAGCAAGCGATCAAGGTTTGCTCAGTTTGCCCCAGGAAAGCCCCCCTTGAGTAGTGATAGCCGGGGATGATGGCCAAGGGCGCGTCGTATCTGTCCGAATACACCATCTTGGGTCAGTCAGCACACACGACACTCGAACACAAACACCGATGGATTGATGGGTTCCCTTCCATACCACACCCTCACCTCTCCCGGTGGGTCCATGCTCACCGTCGTGTCTGTGTGTGTGCCTGTGGGTGCGTGTGTGTATGTGTCAGGGCGTCTCCGGTGGCAGGACGGCGCGGCCACCGACGACGAGGAGTTCACCCTCATCAACGGCGCCCATCGCACTCTATGTGACCTGCACCAGCACACCGATGCAACAGCCGCACACTCGCCGGCATCCCAGTCGGCACCCCACCCCCCCAGGCCCTCTGACGAGGACGCGCGTGAGGTGCTGCAGACGCTCTACTGCCTCATAGCGTCTCACCTGGCCAACCAGAAGCCCACCAACGGCCTCCCCTCCACCTACACCCCCACCCCCCCAAGAGTACAGCCCCTCTCGCGTGAGGAGCCCTCGGACGTCACCATCAGCCTGGAGCCCTTCACGGGCACCGAGGCGCTCCCCGAGATGGTCGATCGGGTGCTGGGCGGCCTTGATTCAGACCGGTCGTCGGCTGGCGCTGCCGATGGGACCGGTGCGGCCGACGACCTTCCTGTGTGTCACTTGCCGGACGCGTTGCGTCAGAACCTGATGCTGCCATCGCTGGTGCGTGACGGCGCCATCCCTCCCCCCATGCGGCGCCTCAAGGCAGCACTCAGCACATACCAGCACCAGGCCAAGACCGACGGCGCAATCAAACTGGACGCTGCCGGCCTCACCGCTGCCGTGTCCAACTCCACCTTCTCCCGCATCTGGGATGCCGCGTCGGGCGACCTCGGCGACCTGCTGGTGTCGCCCCTCCTGTCGCTCGTCATGGATGGGGCGTTGAGCGGCGGCCCCCTCAGTGGCGCCCGGGCGGGTCTTCACACCATGGCGTCGGCCGACACCTCTGCGTCGCCCATCAGCACGGTGGGTGTGGTGCAGCCGGGGATGGCCCCGATGGAGAGCGACGCGCCGCCTCTGCTGCAGTCCTACCTGACGGATGCCTATCGGGTGCTGTGCCAGCAGCGGCCGCTGGCGGCCCTGAGCAAGGTCAACCGGGGCGGGGGGGGCGGGGCCTCGCCCGCATCTTCCCTGCAATCGAGCTTCAACGAGCCCTTCGCCAAGGTGCTCAACGAGGTGTGCCTGTCGTTGCTGCGGCGCGCTCTCCGGCAGAGCAGCACCGCGAGTGTGGGCGTGTCGTGTCTGAACGTGCTGCTCATCCTGTCGCTGCACCTTGGGTCCCTCCAGCAGTTCCTGCGCTTCTTCGACGCACTGTGGTCGCAGCTCATCCTCCAGAGATACTACCCACACATCCCGCCGCCGTCACGACACAAGCCCAACGTGCCCTTCCAGAGCATCATCCGTGAGGGGGTCGAGAGCGACGCCAGCAGCCCCCAGGCGTCCTCCCCTCCCCTCTCGTACGCCTCTCGCGTCGGCTCGGGGCTGGCCATGGGTGTGGGTGGCGTGACGTCTGGGAGCTACCCCTCAGTGGTGCATCTGGACCTGCTGGCCATCCAGTACCCAGTGTCGTTTGTGGGCAGCGGCCCAGGAGTGCCGAGCAGCAAGTCGCTCAAGGACGGCAAGTCGGGCAACACCCACCGCTTCCCCCACTGCGGCGCATATGCCTTCCAGGTGGTGCTGGCCGTCTCGTCGGAGGACCCCGCCATGGGCGGCGACGCCTGGGAGAGCCCTCGCACGGTGCTCGGCTTCTCGTTTGCAGTGGGCCGTGATGGGAACGACAGCAGCCAGCTGCCGATCAACGAGAGGGCGTTTCTGCGCATCGAGGTCGAGGGCGGCACACTGACGCTGCTCGGGGACAGACTCAACGAAAGAGACTGGGTGCAGCCGGCGGGACTCACTGAGGTATCGACGACACACCGATGGGTTCACACACGCACACGCACACGCACACACACTCCTTTCTTTCATGTGTGTGTGCCGTCTTGTCTTGTGTGCTCAGATTGGTGTTCGTGACATATCGGGTCAGCAGGCGATCAGCCTGGACATCTTGATCGACCAGAGCCGCATCCCCACCTTCGACGACACCCCCGACGACCGATCGAGCAAGAGCGGCGACATCGTGATATACGCCGACGGCGACCTGGTGTACCGCAGCCCCATCCCCTCCCCACCCGCCCCCCAACACACCAACATATTCGTCGCCGCACGCAACCAGCTGGTCTTCTCCGCTGAGACGGCACCCAAGGACTCCAAAGTCGACGTTGTCCCCATACCCAGCTGGTCATGCAACTTCGTGCGCGAGCTGCACCACCGAAAGCTCATCGGCACCAACGGGTGGTCGGCGCGACGATCGGCTTCCCACAGACAGCGCACACTCGCCGGCAGCTTCGCGTCGAGGAGGGGCCAGAAGGGCCAGCCCATCTGCCCGCCGGTCGCCATCCCCGGCGCCCCCCAGGGCCTGGCCGCCCCGGCAGACAGTGCGTTCTTCCAGTCCCCTACTGTCATCCGCAACCAGACGGGGGCGGAGGGGCCCTCGACGGCCGATCCACCCGCTACTGCTGCAGCAGCAGCAGCTGGTGCATCGACAGGCAGGGCTGACGGGCCGATAGAGATGGTCCCTGACATGGACGGAGGTCTGGCGGCGTTCGGTGGCAGCCCGGTGCCCGAGGGTCCTTCCCTGGAGCCGCTGGAGCTGTCGGCCCGGTGTGCGGCGACTCTGCATCGCATTGTCATGAGGAGCGACCGTGCGGTGCCGCACTTTCCTAACATGGACGACGACCCTCTACGGCATCTGTTCCTCTTTCCCTCCAGCTCGCCACCCTCCCTCGTCCTCCGCACACTGGAGCTTTTCGTGGGGGTCATGGAGTCCATCTGTGAGCTGCTGAGACGATACGGCGACCGCAGCGGGGCGAGGTCACGGTCGACCACCCGGGACAGGGCACAGCGGTCCAACGAAACCGACACGATGGAGATCACCTTGAAGATCGAGGCCTACCCCGACCAGTCGGGACAACAGGGCGGACAGGGGCAGGGAGATTGCACTGAGGATGGTGGCGACGGGGACAGGGAGGTGGAGGAGGAGATGATGGTGGACCGCGACATGGAGGCGTGGCAGCGGGCCGTGGAGACGGCCTGCTCCCTCGTGGGCGTCCTCAAGTACCTGCTGGAGGACAATAGCGGCAACGGGTGTGTGCGGGAGGCTCTTCAGAAGCACGCACAGCCGGCACTCACCATCCGCCTCCTCGACTGCATGCTTTTCTTCCTACAAGTGAGAGAGGAGACAGGGTCAAGACACAACCAATACCATACAGCACAGCACAGCAGCCACCCTCTGTCTGAAACGCCTTGCCTTGCTTGTGTTGTGTGTCACAATGTCACAATTTCAGGTAGAGGACCCGTTCACTTCGCCGCTGCATCGGCACGGGGCGGCCACGCCCCCGCCGTCCGATATGGCCACCGACGCGGCGAGCCGGTGGCAGTGGTGCCGTGTGGGCGTGGCGTGGCTGCTGCACCGCATCACTCTCAAGGCCGTGGCGGCCGCCCACCCTCTGATACTCAAGATCATCTTCTGGCGCGCACCCGCACACCAGCTCTGCAGATTCCTATCTATTCTCGCCACAAGGAGACCTTACGAGGTCAGTAACTAACGTAACGTACACCTATCACATCACCCACCCGGCATGGCAGTCCTCTGACTGATATGCATAACATGCTTACTTGTGGGTGGGTTCCTGTATGTGTCTGTCTCAGTCGGGGCTCGTGCAGGGTCTGTTAAGTCAGTTGGAGGAGAAGGGCGTCACCGCCATCATAGTCAAGTAAGGGAATGGCATGACAAGCAGCGACGTCGCGGTCAGAATGAATGGTATGATTCTATCGCTTCATCCCATCCTTCAGGCACATCTTCAGCGAGGCGGGCTCCGCCCGCCCACAATCTGCCCAGTCACCCTTCCTGTCACCGGCCAGCCCCGGCACACCACTTTTCCCGAAAGGTGAGGAAGCTAGTGAGATGAACAGACACAGACTCAAGGCTTGTGTGCATCATGTGTGTATGTCTCTCTGTCTGCCTGGTCTGTCTGCGCAGCGTGGGGCACTTTATTGGGTGGGGGTCCAATCCCGTCCCCCCTGCTGTCCCCCCGCCAGCCGGCCACCCCAAGCCCCACACCGGGCGGCAAGCGACGGCCCCTGGAGGGATCCAACTTCTGGCAGTGCTTCAACGAGATGGTGCGGCGGGCAGAGAGGCAGTTCCAGGCCGTGGCCAGGCGAAAGGACGCCATCAAGGACAGAGAGAGGGACGAGACCGACGAGACAGTCGAGGCGGTGGGCAGTGACGAGCAGCGGTCCGTGGTGCATGAGCGGGAGTTGGAGAGCTGCCTGGAGGTGCTCGACCCAATGGTCAGCTTCTCGTCCAACGGTGTGCTCGTGGGGGGCCGCATGGTGACCAGCGACGAGCTGGGCTTGTCGCATGTCCGGCTGCGCAAGCCGCGGAAAGATGCCACTCTGGGCACGGCTGGTGAGGTGGCAGGTGTGCTGGCTCGGCACGCGACCAAGCAGATGATATGGGGCATCCTCAACATGCTGCAGAAGGAGGCCTCCAAGACAGGCCAGGTGTCCACCCAGAGCCAGCCGGGGCGGAGCCAACGGAACAGCCCCTCCCCCCCTCCATCCTCTCACGACGACTCTCAGCGCGGCCGCTCGTCCAGGAGCCCCAGGCAGCCATCGTCGCCCGCCCCATCCGGCGGCGGCATGGGCCCCGGCACATCCTCACTGGAAGAGGCGTGCGCGATTCTGGAGGAGATCATGCGGATGCTGCTGTCCAACGGGCACCGGGTCATGGCCACTCTGGCGGACGTGGTGGGCCCACTGGGCACACCACCACGCAACGGCTTCGACGGGCCGGCCGCACTCATGCACCGCGTGGCGTTCGCAACGGAGGCGACGGTGGGTGTGGAGGCGGGGGTGCTGCTCGACGGCTCCACCATTCTGCACACGGCCGTGCTGCCGTGTCTGGGCAACCTGACGGCTCTGACGTCGGCGCCTCCGTCGCCCTCCAACCTTCGTGTGCTTGCTCTGCTGCTCCGACTGTGGCCGCGTATTCTGAGGCTGGCGCTGAGGTGCCTTCTCGTCACCCGACAGATATCCACTCTGTCTGCCGTGTCGCGACAGGTACACACTTGAGGGAGACAATACATATATCTGTGTGAATGCATTCAGTCAGATGATGGATGATCCGGGTGTGTGTGTCATCTGTGTCAGGTGTTCCATCCGATAGTCGACTTCTCAGTAGGCGTGGTGAGCGTGACGTGTCACTTCCTGCTGTGGTTCTCGCGAGACGCCACTCAGTACATCCACCCCCCATCCAGCCCCGACTCACCGTCGCCCGTCCTACCCCCCAACGCATCCCTGCCCCCGCTGCTCGTCGCCGGCGCCCGCTACGTCCCCTCGCCGCAGGGCCACGGACTCAACGCTGTCGAGCACGCCCTCCGCAGCATCACACTCACCCTCATGGAGTGCTCCGCCCCCTCGCCACAGACGGGGTCGACGCATGTCAACCCCCACTCTCTCCCGAGGGGCGTGGCGGATTTCGTGGAGGCCTTCCGTCTGGCGTCTGTGCGTGAGGCGGCCAACGCGGCTGCAGCAGAGGAGGGAGGCGGCGAGGCGAGCGGCAAGCGGCCTGCGCTGCCACTGACGCTCGGCGGGGGGCTGGTAGGGGGGACGGAGGAGGACCGTGCGCCGACAGCCTTTTCCATGAGTGTTTTGGAGGGCGACAAGGAGTTCCAGGAGGCATGCCCCAACTGGACACCATTCCACCCAAGCATCAAAGAGGTCAGAGAGAAGCCAAGCCAGTGTGCAACAGCTTGCTTGAATGAGCCAGAAAGCCATGTTTGTCCGTCTCTGTGCTGTGTGTGTTGGGGTGCTGTGTTCAGGTTGAGCGTGCGCTAGTGGCGTGTTTATTGCATCTGAGCGGGTATTCGGGCCCCCCCAAGTCGCGTGTGCCCACACAGGGAGGTGGGGCGGCAGCAGCAGCAGCGGCCGCGGCTCTGGACGACGCTGTGGAGCAGGCACCGACCGAGATGGCGCCAGAGCTGAAGGAGGCGTTCAGTTTGGCTCGTCGTGCGGCCATGCGGCTGCTGGCTGACGTACAGCGCTGCTGTGCGACGGTGTCTCAGGGGTCCACCAGCAACAGGGGAGAGGACGCATCACCTATCGCCATGGTCGAGGGGGTCAGTTGAGCAGCAACCAAACACCAAGAGAGAGAGGGCCCATTGAGCAATCAACACTGCCTGCCTGTCAATCAACACTGCCTGCCTGTCTTTGTATGTATCATATTGTGCAATCAGGTCCTGGGTGACGACAGCAGCCCCGCCGCAGCACCAGCCTCGCCCTCGCCCTTCAGCACGGGCATGAGCAAACACGCCGAGAAGAAGGAGGAGATCCTCGGGGCCGTCCTCAACAGATGCGTGTGGCTCCTCAACATCTGCCCTCGCGGCGTCTGTCGGCCCCGCACCCCGGCAACCGGCACATGGGCAGGCGGACAGGAGACCCTCAGACGGGCGGCACTCACCATCTCGAGCGGCTACCTGCGGTCGGCATCGGCTGCTGAGCAGGCTCTTTCCCTCATGCTGCAGAGTCCGCCCTCCCCCGCCCCTCCCAAGTCCCCCGAGATCCCCCCTCCCACCCAGCCGCCCAACGCGCCAGGAGGCGCCTCGCCCACCAACAACGGCAGCTCGGGAGCAGACACCCGCCAGACGCTCTCCAAGAAGCCATCGCTGTCGACTGTCCATAGAGTGATTGGCTCGCATCGTGAGGCGGGGCGGCTGGTGAGGAATGTCGACCTGCTTGCTCGACTGCATGGGTCGAGGAGGGTGTCTTCGGCGCTGGAGCGAGGCGACACGGTCGGCCACTGGGCCCGGTCGGCGTCGATTGACGAGGAGGGGGCGGGTCATGGTGGTGATGGGGCGTGGTACGGCCAGAGTGGGGCTGCTGTCTCGCGGGACGACGCTGTGCCCATCGAGCAGGCCCCTGTCTCAGACCTACTTGGACACTTCCTCAGTAAGCCAGCCACACCAACCAACCAACCAGCCAACCGACACAAAGAGGTGACGTGCCCGTGGTCGATCCTGTGTTCCCTTCAGGCTTTTTGTGCCAAGGTCCTGACGTCAAGGTGGCCGAGGATGCCCTCCGCATCGAGCACCTCAGCTCACTCTTCCACTACATCACACTCAGGAGCCTCCGCGCCCTCCTGCTTGCCGGCCTCTGTGCGCAGATCCCCCGCGTCGGCCCGCGTGGCGCCACCTACCAGGCCGACAGCGGCAAGGGCGGGCAGGGCACCCGCTCATTCCCCAAGACGTGGTCCTCCGACGACCTGGAGCCGCAGGGCAAGCAGCTGCCCCACTCTGGGTCGGGTGGCGTGGAGGCCAGGCTGCCGCTGTCTTTGCCCTACTCGGATTTCGGCATGGGTCGCAAGTGTACATGGCCCGTCATCCTGGACCTGCTGGTGGGGCCGGTGCTGCCGCCATCACACGCTTACCAGGAGGGGTCGGGGGCCGACAGGGAGCTGCCGGCCGTGGCGGTGCGGTACGGGGGGTGGCTGCTGCTGTCGACGCTTCACGCCGCGTGTCTGCAGCTGCTTGCACGGCGGTCGGTGGTGACGGGCAGTGGGACCAGCACTTTGAGCGCACAGGCGATGGTGCCCTTCGGGCTGCAGCCCATCTCTGAGACCGTGCGAACCACCATGAATGAGATGATATGGTGAGTGAGACACACGAAAAAGAAAGGGGCTTGCTTCCTGTCTTGTTGTATGTATGTATGCGTCATGTTGGTTCGGTTAACTGCAGTGGGGTGACCGAGTGGCACTTGCAGCGCAACCCCCCGTTTGTGTACAACCTGGTGCAGTCGACCTCCTCCTCCCTCGACCACGTCTTCACAGCGGCGCCCGACGACGCCCTGTGGGTGGAGGCCACACTGCGCCTGCTGGTCTTCCACGTCTGCACCAAGACCAGGCCGCTCGACACGGCGAGGTACGTCGTGCCCTTCCTCCACCACCTGCTGCAGGTGGCCTTCCCGCCGCTCCAACGACTCGTCGACCACCGCGGCAACGGACCCCGGACGGACCTCACCCCACAGACAACAGTGCCGCTGGAGAGGGCCGTCACGGCAGTGGTCGTGCGGCGCTATGACGTGGCAGCCGAGCACGTCGTTGACAGGCTGCCGCTCGAGGGCTTCACGACGCTGTCTAAGTTCCAGTCGGGCAACCGTGTGTGGGTGCTCATGTCCCAGGCGCAGGGCAAGGCCCCGGCGTTCACGCCGCCCCTCTCAGACCTCTCGGTGCAGGAGTGCTCCGAGGAGCAACCCGACACACAACCACCACCACTACCACCAGCACCAGCAGCAGGAACGCAGCAGCAACCACAAGCGGCATCGAGAGGCGATACAGTGGTCCGCAGGGCGCCCTTCGCGCACCGTTCATCGTCAGCTCTGGTGACGTGGCTGCTGACGGGCAAGGCGGCGGGTGAGGCGAGTGGTGACCAGCTGGCCATCGCCGACTGCCTGTTGGAGGTCCTGCCTCTGGCAGGCCGGCGGGACTCCGAGGCGCCCGATGTCGAGGAGCGTTTCCAGCAGCTGCAGGACAGCGGCTTCACGTACGAGGGGACTTTGCGCTATGACGATGCCGACGGGGCGCAGCTGTGGAGCAAGAAGAAGCGGCTCGTCACCGCACACCCCACCGCACGGGGCGCCGACGTCCCCGAGGACGCTGAGGCCGAGTTCCCCACAGCAGCGTACAAGGAGTCGTCGCAGAGGCTCAAGCACCGCTCGTGGAAGCTCTTTGAGACGGCACTGTGGGCCGTGCTGGGCATCGGCAGCGACGCCAACCCCTCACGCGCAGGGGCGTCGAGCAGCGACACCAGCCAGAGGAAGGACGCGGGCTGGGTGCGCAAGGCGGCCATCCAGGACGGGCAGAAGGACGAGGGGCAGGAGAGGAAGGCCACCACTGCCACCGGCGGGCAGGGCGGCGCTAGGATGCGCGACAGGGCCGACAGCGACCGTCAGGCCGTCATGGTGGGTGTGCTGCAGATGGTCATGACCGTGGTCATCAAGGTGGCCGACACGATGCGCACAGAGGGGCCCAGCGGTGGGGGTCCCGGCCGCATGAGCAGCAGCGAGTTCCACGCGACAGAGAAGTTCGTCGCAGACCTGCTGGGGGCGCTGCATGGGTGCGTGCGGCAGTCGTCCAATGCTGCACTCATGGTGCTCAAGGCCCTCATGACGACTCAGGAGGTCAAGGCCAACCAGCTGGAGCCTCTCTTCAACAGCGCCGTGATCAAGCAGGCCCTCTACCGTCTCATCACCGAGTGCATCCGCAACTCACCGCCGTCCGACGAGAGTGAGGACGACCTCACGGCAGCATATGGCGGGGCCAGCCCCACCAACGACAGCATGAACACACAGCTCGTGATGCACTGCCTCCCCCCTCTCGTCACCATTCTCCCCGGCGGCGTCGGCGAAGAGGCCACAGAGCTCCTCAAGATCCCCCCACCGCCCCCTACTCCAGCGGCGCCCGACAACACCGCCGGCACTTCTGGCGCCACACCCACACCGCTCCCTGCGGCCCAGCAGGCCCCCGCTGCCGCCGCGGCAGCCATCCCGAGCCCGGCGAGCAATGCGATGGTCCCTCAGGGCATGGCCATGGCCAACATCTACGCCGCCGGCCAGGTCAGCGACCCCTTCCCTCCCTCCCACCCCCAGTCATCCTACTTCGTCACGGCACGACCCACAGGCGAGTTCGCGGCAGAGGTGGACGAGCGGACGCTGAGGATACACCGGGGCGAGGGGCTGGGCGGAGTGGTCCTGTGTCGGGCACCGCTGACCTTCACTGCTCTGTCAGTGGGCCCCCAGCAGCCCAACAACGTACTGACGTTCCGGCTGCAGAGTGCCGGCAGATTTGGTGTGACGGTGGCGCCTGCCAGTGCTGTGTTCGGCACGCCCTCTGAGGTCTTCGAGCGCAACGATGTGGTGGGCTTTCGCACACGCACCACGCCCAACTTCCGAGACGACTCCTTCGCCGCCCACGTGCTGTATGAGGTGGGCGACCTGCTCGACGTGCGGTTCGAGGTGGATCCTGGTGTGGGCACCATCCACAGCCAGTCGTGTCTGCGGACTGAGCTCATGATATCTGGGGAGTCCATCGGGTCCGTGCTGGAGGTGTACTTCGACGAGGCCACCCAGATGCAGGAGACACAGCGGATGAACCTGGTCTTCGTCTTCCAGGACCGCATGACCATCGCCTACGAGGGACCTGACTTTAACCTCGAGCCGCCCGCAGGTTTCCAGCCGCCACAGCCGGTGGCCAACGGTGCCGGGCCTGCCAACGGCACGGCACCACCCGCCGAGCCCCCCAACGATCAGAACTACCCTCAGTCGTTCTACCCATCCTACCCCCCCATGCAGCAGAGCGACGACGGGGGATGGCCGCCGCTGCCGTCGGGTCAGCCGGTCACCACCGGGGCACCAGGGATGCTGCCATCGATTCAGATGCCGGCCTACATGCCTGTGCCGTCGATGCTGGGTGGAGGGGGGATGAATGGGCTGGCCGCCGGGGGCTCGTCGGACTCGCTGGGAGGGGAGTCCTATGACGCATCGACGCCCGGTGCGATAGCGGCTCCCCCACTGGACGACAAGGAGGCGTGGGAGCAGGGCAAGCCGCTGTTCGTCGAGGCGCTGCGGCTGTACCAGGCTCTGCTGCTGGCCGACGCCAACATGCTCGTGTCGCTCAAGCAGGAGGTGCTCATGGACCTCCGCCGAGGCGTCAGGGGGGCTGTGGCACTCATGGAGGGTTCGCCGATCCTCGAACAGCCACCCGCAGAGGCCAGGCCAGACAGAGATGAGAGCCCCAGAGACGGCGCACTGCCGGAAGGATCCACAGAGCAAGCAGATTCGGCCGCTGCGAGCAGCGCCCACCTCGATGCCGAGAGGGAGCGAGAAGGCAGTGGTGATGAGGAGGGGGACAAGGAGGAGAGTCGCTGGTCTGTGGAGCTGAGCGATGCCGCCATCCTGGCCTGCCGGAAGGCCCTGTCTGTATTGGCGGTGATAGGGTGCGACATCACTGGGGAGGGCATGAAGGAGTCCATCCAGGAGAGCTCACCCCACCAGGACGCCTTTGGCCTGCCCTGGCTCATGGGCCACTCGCCACTCAACCGCTGCGTGACGTACGGCCTCACCTCGTCCCAGTGCGAGATGCTCCTCAGCACCCTGGCTGAGCTCATCGCCGTCACGCCCATCCACGAGATCCTCCTGAGACTCGCCAAGTCCGGCCCTCTGCACCCCTATGGGCAGCGCGACCAGGACGTCAAGTCGATTCTGCTAGTGCTGGGCACCAAGGCCCTTCTGGCGTGTGCCCTCACGCTCCGGACGCTCATCAGCCTGCACCCCGACGGCAACTTCGCCCAGTTGCGTGTGCCGGGGATGGACGCCGTGCTGTACCACTGCACCACACTGACGAGCTTCGGCGAGAAGTTCCTGTTCATCAGCTCGGGCACCCACCCCGACCGCTACGACCTGCCGCCGCCGGGCGTGGACACCGACGATGACGACCTGTCGGCACAGAAACACCCCCGGTCGCCCACGGGTGAGAGCTCCTGGGGCCGGCTGCTGGCTGGTGTCACCAAGCAGCCCAAGGCAGCCGAGGAGAGGAAGGATGACGAGAGCCCCGGCAAGAAGCAGCAGAGGAGTGGCCCCGGCCGACGCGACCCCCCTGGGGCCCCCTCGCCATCCCCCAGTGGGCCAGAGGGAGGACAGGCCACCACCGGACCGACAGACCACATCGACTGGCATTCTATCGGCGCCCTCTGCGGTATCCCCGCTGACGTCTTCGCGGCAGTGGGCACGCCAAAGACCACGGCCCAGCCGGTGATAGAGGTGACGGAGACCAGCGCACTGTGGCGGTGGATTCTGAAGCTGGTGCAGGGGTGGGCGGGGCTGCCCGACGGGCCGCAGGGGCCAGTCAAGCAGAAGGACGGCAGCCTCACCAACGACAGCCCCAATGTGACGTCCAAGGTCTTCAACCTCGACGGCTCGGCATCCTACTCGTCCAAGCGGCTCGCCACCCGGCTGATGGAGACGTCGGCCACCTGGGCCCTCAAGAAAGACGTCGTAGAGGTGCTGTGCGGCGTCGCTGCACTGGTGCCAGACCAGTTCGTGCAGCGTCTGCATGACGGATACATCGCCAGGCGACCACCTGTAGCCAAGGATGACCAGCCCACGTCCTCTGCGGCTGCTGCTGCTGGTGCACCGCCGCCCAGCAGCCGTCCTGGTTCCCTGCTGTCCCCTCACGCGCTCAATGTGGTTCGGCTGTTCCGTTGCTGCATCTACTTCATCAGCCGTGAGAAGGACGACAATGTGCCCGACTACTGGCTGCCCTTCAAGCCCACCTTCGACTCGCCCCGGGTCAAGCAGCGTGTGTACAAGGAGCTGAACCGAGTGAGCGTCCTCAAAGACGAGCTGTATGGGTGGCAGCGGGTCTTCTACCTGGCCGTGGCCATGGCGGCCAACGGACAGGGCCCCGGGACGTACCCCCCACACACAGCGGGTGGTGAGGATGCATCCCCCCCTCCCACCGCTGAGGACAGCATGGGGTTCAGGGATGCGCTGTTGGAGGTCATCCAGTCAGAGGTCCTCTACCACCTCGTCGGGTCCGTTGCACAGGTCGTCTCATCCAAGCAGCGCACCGGCAAGTCCCCCAAGTACTGCGCCCTGTCGCCATCTGTCCACGTGGCCCACTGGCTGCTGGACGCCTTCATCCGCCACCCCCTGGCGCCCGGTGGCATCCGCCGTCGCGTCGCCACCCCCGCCAGCTGGGCGGCGCTGTTTGCCCTGCTCGTGAATGGGTCTAACCTGCCCATGAAGCTGGCCATGGACGCGGCGCGGATTTCCAACTGGCTGGTGATGCTGCCGTCACACTCACCGCTGGCCGTCAAGGAGTGGGAGGGCGAAGGGGCCGGACAGGTGTTCGGCGGCCGCGACAACGCCGACACCATCACGTCCCTCGTGCCGTCGAGCGGCCTGGACTGCTCACCCACAGCGCCGACCCAGCAGGCGGGGCAGGATTTCGGCTTCTTGGGTGCTGGATTCGCCGGGCAGGGGGTGCGTCTGAGCACCGGGCGGTCAGTGCGTTCTGGTTCGACGACGAGCAAGCGAGAGAAGGAGGCGCGAGAGCTGCTGCAGAGCATCATGAACTGCATCTGCTACTGCGCGACGTCGGCCACCGGTGCGATGGACAGCATGTACATGGGCCGGGCGGGCCTCGACTGCTTCTCCCTCTCGGAGCTGTACAAGGCCAACAACCGCCATCGCGTCAATGCGGCCCTCATTGTGCACTTCCTGTGCGCCGCTGGAGTGGTCATCACGCAGAACAACCCCCACCGGTCCCTCAACTGGCCCAATCTCGCCGGCAGCAATGCCTTCAGAGACCACCTCAACCTCCTCAGCGTCGCCGCCGGCGTTTCCAACACCTCCAATGAGGTCAACCTCAACATGTTCGGACGCGGCAAGGACAGACGACGAAGCAGCACCGGCACTGACGACTCACAGCAGGAGAGACCTCTTCCGTCGTCCGCATGGGGCCCAGGAGCGCCGCCAGTAACGATCCCCGAGGGCTCGCCTCTCAACCTGTCCCAGGCGTCGCTTCAGTTGCCGGCCGTGGGGATGCCCGCGGCCTCTCCGGTCTCCTCGTCGACCCTCCCGGCAATTGAAGGCCGGTCGCCCATTCCCCAGACTTTCATGCGGACGTGCCTGTCCATCCCGGAGGAGACCGAGACGTCTGAGGTGTCGCCTGTCGAGATGACCATCGGGCGTGTCAAGGCCCCTGGGGCAGGGTATCTCATGCTGACGCTCTCCGACTGGATCAAGAAGGACGGCTCCGAGCCATCGCGGTCGGGCCCCTCACTGCCCAAGGACCTCTCCCCTGTGTCGAACCAGCTCTTCGATCGCCTCATCCGCCGTCCCAAGCTACTGGTTGCCGCTGACCGGCTGTTCAAGCATCTGCTGTTCGAGATCACCAGCCGCCCCACACCCCGGTGGACTCTTCGACCTGACCTCATCGAGCAGGGCAGTGACCCCCAGCGCCGCCCGTCGACGGTCGACGTGGACCTGGATGAAGACAGACACGTGTGCACCATCACGGTCGGCGGCAGGAGCAGCAGCCCCCCCTCCCCATCACACAAGGGGGCCGACCCCGCGGCCCAGCGCAGCGACAGCAGCTCCGCGTCAACGACCCTCGTCACCATCGAGGACTCCCTGCCGTGCGGCGCTTCCCACTCGGTGATTCGCCTCAAGACGCGCATTCGGGGTCTGGACAAGCCGGGCATCGCCTACCCCCGTGTGGGTATCCTCGACCTGGACTCGCACGACACACCACCCCCTACCAATGTGACGGATTGGAAAGACGCCCGTGGCAGCTGGTCGTTGGTGTTTGGGGAAGGACCGCCGAGGCTGGTGTCGACTGGTTCTTGCGACAAGCAGAGCCACAAGCTGTGCGGCGATGCTGCCGCCACCAGAGGCGGAGTCACACTCCCACCAAGGGCATTCGCGCAGGGAGTACAGGTCAGTGTCGAGAGGGAGGGCGGGTGGTTATCGCATCGGCCACTAGGACCTGATGGATACTGTACTTACTGTGTCTGCTTGTTCAGGTGGTGATGGCGATAGCTGGCAGGGCAGTGACGTGGGAGGTGAACGGCAAGATGGTCGCTGCCGCCACTCTGCCACTTCCCTGCAATCAGGTAAGTATCTACAGCGCAAGGCAAGACCACACCACCTGCCATCCCTCTGAAGCTTCATTTATGGCTGTTCGTTCGTGTCCCCTTTCCTTTCAGGTGCTTCCCGCTGTGTCCATATCGTCAGGAATGTCTGTGCTGCGCAACACCAGCTCGGAGATGACGGCCACATTCGAGCTCCAGCCCCTATGCCCCCCCTCAGCCATCTCATCCCTCTGCGACCTCTACTACAGATGGGAGCCCCTACTCACCGAACGGAAGCTCGAGTGGAACATCCATTTCCCCCCTCACCACACACCACGCGGCCCTACCCCACCCACACAGGGGCGGCCGGCTCAGCCTGCGACAGCCTCCTCGCCGGGTGGCTTCCTGCTGCCTGGGCCGCCGAGGCCGACCAAGTCTCTGTCTGGCGCGTCGGATCGTGTGATGCTAGAGGGGGTGGAGGTGGATGAAGGTGGGTCTGTTGTGCGTCTCAAGCCGAACCCACCACCCAAGAGCGATGCGCCTCCGCCGGCTGCCGAGAAAGGCAAGGAGAAGGGCAAGGGCAAAGACAAGAAGGGCGGCGACGCCAGCCCATCCAAGATGGGGTCGCAGGGGTCCATGTCGGACGTCACGCAGCCCCCCGAGACGAGCGACGGGGGGCATCTGCCGGAGCTGGCTCTCTTCACTGTTGACCTGCGCATCCGCAGCGGCATCAGCCAGGCGGTGCCTTGCGAGATCCCCCCCGCCGCCGGCTTCAAGCCCTACGGCGCGCCCTTCAACTACCTCACACCTCAGGGCGCCATCCCCCTCGACCACCGACCCACCACAGCCCCCATGCACATGCCTTTGTCCAGCGGCACCGCCTCCCCCCGCCCCTCACCCACCCCCTCATCTGTTTTCGGGCAACCTACAGGTGCGCTTCCGGCCGTCCCCGCCCCGTCCTCTCCCGATAGGCCGTCCACAGCGAGCTCTTCGCGACGATCTGGCGGCCGCGGCCTCCCGGCAGGCCCGCCGCAGAGACCTCCTGTTGCTCCGCATCCAGCCCACCCCGTCAGACCTCCGATGATGCCCGTCCCTGTCGTCCCCCATCCCCCACCCGTCCGCGCTAACATCTTCGGCGGCGCATTTGGGGCGCCCCCGCCTCCAGTAGGCTTCCACCACCCCCCTCCATCTATATTCGGGGGAGGTATCTTCGGCGGCCCAGTGGCGCCACCTGCCAGCGAGCCATCGTCGGGGTCGCCCTTCGTCTTCGGCGGCCGCAAGGCACCCACCAGCCCCATGCTGACTACTCCCGTTGCTGGCATGGATGCCGTCTTCCCCGCGCTGCCCTTCAAGTTCCAGGTCAAGATCAAGGGCGGCAGCGGGAAGGAACCTCCTCCTGCTTTCGGAGTGGTCTGGCAGCACTACCGGTGGCTGTGGCTCGCCAATGGACGGCTGGTGTGTCCTCTCGACCCTCCCTTGCCGCAGAGCAGCCCACAGACGGCCATGACGAGCCCGCCGCGGGAGGTGATGGTCAAGGAGGGCATTACCCCGTTCTTCGCCAACGACAGCCTCACGGTCGAGTTCCAGCCCTCGATGCCCGCCCTGCTCTTCTATAAACATGACGAGTACCAATTCGCCTTCCACTTCGAGTACTTCTACAACCGTCCAGGCCCCAAGCAGCCCCGCCAATCGGCCTCGGTCAAGACGGAGCGCCACAAGCTCATGAACGAGCTCCACTCGGCCATCACAAATCGCTCGGTCGACGCCATCAAGAAGGTCTTTGACCAGTGCCCGGATCTCCTTATGAGCCCGCCACAGCAGAGGGGAGAGGTGGAATTCACCTCGTACACCGAGACGCCGTCCGCCAGCCCAGCCGAGAAGAAGGACACACCATTGCGCCTCGCGGTGCGGCTGGGGCTAGAGGAGGTGACCAAGACGCTCATCGAGCACGGCGGAGCGGCCCCCAACGGCCCGGCGGCCAACCAGAAGAACGCCACTCCTCTGATGGAGGCCGCGCACTACGGACACGATCGCCTGGTGGCCCTCCTGGTGTGTGTGTATGGTGCCGACGTGAATCAGAAGGACCAGCAGGGGTGGACGGCGCTGCACCATGCGGTCAACTGGCAGAAAACGTCGACCGCCCTGCTCCTCCTGCGGCTGGGCGCCGACCCCACCATCAAGCATGGAGCGGACCTCACCCCGGCCGAGATGGCCAAATGCACCGAGGAGTGCAAGGACGTCCTCAACCTCTGGCAAGCCCTGCGCAGCGGCACCAAGCCCACCGGATGGGCCCCCATGGCATCAGCCACATCCCTTCGACCCCTGCGGTCAGCGCGTTGGTCAGGTCTCCTGGCCAACTGCTCCCCCGTGGTCGGTCTGCCGGCCATGCCAGCCGACGCATCATCGGATACTGCGCCGATCGAGGCCAAAGTGGAGGTGCTCGAAATCGACGGAGAGAGGGTTGGCCAGGCGGCCCTGGCCAAGCGCACTGACGGGCTGGAGGACGAGGACCGCTTGTCGGTCAGTGTCGCCGACAATGATGAAGACTCGTCTCAACCGCCAGAGGGCGACGCGCCGGAGGGCGCCAAAAAGAGGAGAGAGGGGACGAAAGATACCCAAGGGTCGGCTACAGCATCGTCAGCTCCCTTTGGCGATCCCTCAACACCCAGCGGAGGCAATATCTTCGGTTTCTCGGGTGCCTTCGGCAAGGTGCCAGCCGCGCCACCTGAGAAGGCGGGCGGCAGAGGTGGCGGCAGGAGGTCAAAGGGCGTCAGGAGCAAACGAGCCGGCCCCACAGTGAGTGGCGGTAGCGGTCCTCCGGGGGCGCCTCACGAAGGGCCATCCCTTGGCGGCGATCGGCCGGCGGCGCGAGGCATCGTGCCCGAGGACCTTGCTCACCGAGTGGGATGGGCAGGGACCAACATCATCACCAGCACGGCACTCCGGCAGCTGCTGTTGGAGCTGAGTGAGAACATGCGCAGGACCAACGTGATAGATGTCGACTGGGACGGGTGGAAGCGGAACCTCAATGAGGCGCAGACGCTGTCGGACTTTGCTGACGTCATGTGCCGGGCGGCCAAGGCCATGAGGGAGCCCAATGATGACCTGCCGCCGGAACGGGAGCAGTGGATCGACAGGTGACACTCACTTATGCCACACGTCCCTCGGATGCAATGTCTCATTGTAAATATGGTCGGGTCGGTCATCTGTCTGTGTGTGTGTGCAGGACCCGGCGGTCCAAGTCTTTGGATCAGTTGGCGTATAGGTTGCTCGAGCTAGAGGCTGAGTTGCACCCCGACTTCATGCAGCAGCAGTGGCCCGGCCGACAGCGCGAGCACTGGATCAGACAAGTCAACGCCGAGCTGGGCCTCATCAAGGTCACGGGCACCGGCGGCATCGAGTGGACACCCGACGTGTCGCAGGCCATGGCGCCCCTCAAACAGGACAGCGCCGGTATGGACCCCCTAGGCCCCACCGACCAGGGCGGCGCAGGACTATGGTCGGCCCCGCCTTCATCTCCCGAGTGGGAGGTCAAGATGATCGCCAAGTCGTGTCTGACCGAGGACGACCACGTGGTGTCGCTGTGGCACCCCGACTGGCCCTTCACCTACGACGAGCAGCTGCGGAAGCTCATGGACGTCTTGGGTGTGCAGAGCCAGCTGACGGCCTATGTGTGGTATGTGGGTGTCAAGGAGAGGGAGAGGGAGGCGGCGGCCAGGGGGCAGCCCGTGACGGGCAGGAAGCCCATGGAGGTGACGCTGCCCGACCGATCCACTGCTGTGTGGAGGAACGCAGACCTGTCGCCTGAGGAAGCTGAGGAGTCGGCCAAACAAATATTCAAAGCTGCTCTTGACCTGGTACCAGTCTGCACAGACAGCATTCACCAGCTGAGCTCACGTTCGTTGACCTACATTCATATACTGACTGCGTGTGGTGTCCTTTCAGTTGAGTCGCGTCCGTCGGCGTCTGTCCGAGCAGCCTTCCTTTCGACTCCTTCGCAGTGGCACATTCGACGCTCTGCCGTCACAGCGGGCGGGCCTGGCTGCCCTGCCCCTGGACAAGGAGGAGACGCTGCTCAAGACGCTGTTGGCGGGCCGGCTGACGCTCATCAGCCGCGTCAACGCCATGGCACAGGAGACGTTCCCCGTCATTTCGGCCATCTTCAACATACCCACGGCACACTACGACTACGACGGGCTCCTCACGCTGGGCCCCACACCCGACTTCTTCAGGGGCGACGCTGAGGTGCTGTGGTGCGCCGACTCCATCCCAATGACCAACAGCACGCAGCCGCAGGCAATCCCGCCGGTCGATTTAGATGAGGATGGCGGTCTGGATGAGGGCGGGGCGCAGGAGGGGGAGTACGACATTGACGAGGAGGGCTGTGAGGAGGGCGGCATGATGGAGGAGGGAGGCGCGCCGGCGAGGGGAGTGGAGGGGAGGAAGAGGGGCCTGGCGGACCTGTCGGTCCTCAAGAAACTGGTGCTCCAGATCGGCCCTTCGGACTTGCCCGTGCAGGTCTCCGTCTATGTGGCCTTGCGACCCCTGCTGCTGGTAAGGAAGAAGGAAAGGCTACTACCGACCTGACCCGCCCTGGCTGCTCTCGATCACACGTGTGTACGTGCCGCTCGTGTGTGCGTGTGGTGTGCAGCACCAGACCATCCAGTCGCTGTGGTCGTCGGGTCTGCAGAAGATGGGCACACCAGGAGGCGAGCGGTTCAGCATCAAGGTTGGTGACTCAGAAGACAACAAACACACAACACCACACCACAACACGTCTTACCCTTGGTGTGCTTGAATGCCTTCAGATCGACCGGGGCCGTGGCGCTACTGCTCGTGACATCACAGACTCGGTGTGGTACCAGGCGGCCAACCAGATCTTGCCCCGGTCGTCAGCCAGCCTGCGGGGCAAGTCGGGCGACCGGCCCTTCATGGTGGTCTTCAGGGGCGAGGGCGCATCGGACTTTGGCGGGCCCTTCCAAGAGCTGCTCAGCTGGCTCAGCCGAGAGGTCATGGGCAAACTCGCACACGTCGATTCCGACGAAGTAAGAGAGAGATACATGGCCACGCTGGCAGGCAACAAATGGAGAGAGAGTGACCTGGCTGCGTCCTTTGTGTGTTCATTCGATTTAGCATTACCCCGAGTTCCACGTGTTTGTGCCGTGTCCCAACTCTGCCCACTCCATCGGCCCCAACCAGGACACGGTCATCCTGCACCCAGGCACATCACCCTACACACCAGAGCCAGCCTACAGGTGGGAGGGATGGCAGCGAGACCTCCCAGAACAAACCGACAACCCACCAACAGCGACAGCAGCAGACGACCTCCCCGTCGATGACGACCGCGACCTGCGCATGGCCCTGGAGCTTAGCGCGCGACCCATGGAGGACGATGGCCCCGGTCCCCCTCCGCCCCCCCAGCCACCGAGAGGCGCTGATCGGTCGTCGCTGCGGAGCGACAAGGACGATGAGGGCAAGGAGGGGGACGACGACACTCGCCAGGTGCTGCAGCGGGTCGTTATCGTCCGCACCAAGGGGCGGAGAGACGGTGAGAGAGCTTCGCTCGGCAGCCAGGCCAACGAGGTGGCGACGGGCATTGAGGACCAGACAGTGGAGAAGGTGCTGCAGCGCCAGATTGACAGCTGGCCATGACCGAGGGGGTCGACCAGTTCCTCTCGAGTGCGGCGCTGGAAGAGGCCACCGATGTGGCTGACGGGAGGGAGCCGACGACAAGCCCACTGATGGCTGCCTGGAAGCGCTCGCCGCTCTTAAAGAGCAGTGGCGTGGAAGGGCAGCCATAGATCGGTGGGCGGGGCTGACGGACAGTCAGCCCCTTCAGTGGTCAAGGCCCTTAAGGCCCCGCATGTCGACGCGCGGCCACACGTCGGCTCCCCCCAGCCCGCTACGGATAGTCGATCCGTCACCCAAGGCGCCCCCTCCACAGCAGCCGCGGCCACGGCACATCCATCCGTTGAGTTGACGGGCGTTAAGCACGCCGGCCTCCAGGCACATCATCCTACACACCAGAGCCAGCCTACAGGTGGGAGGGATGGCAACGAGACCTCCCAGAACAACCCGACAACCCCCCGACAGAGACAGCAGCAGACGACCTCCCCGTCGATGACGACCGCGACCTGCGCATGGCCCTGGAGCTCAGCGCGCGACCCATGGACGACGATGGCCCTGGTCCCCCCCCGCCCCCCCAGCCACCAAGCTTCCGACGTCCGGCTGACGGGAATGGACCACAACCACGGCAGCGATGATGAGCTCACGCCGTCTGTGCTGCCGCCCACGGAGAGCTCGAGCGACAACAAGACCGACAGGGAGGCGGCCTCCAAAGAGAAGGTGGATTGAAACCACACACAGCAGGGGCACAGAGAGACGCTCACGGACGGGTTGGTTCTTGTGTTGTGGATGGTGTGGTGCAGGACCATTCGAGTGTCATCCGTGAGGTCTCGCAGCCACCTATGCTCTCCCCCACTCTCCCACCAGCACCGGCACCCACACCCACACCACTGGCACCAGCGGCAGATGCAGTTGCAGTTGCTCCAGCTGCTGCAGACAGAAGGAGAGTGACGATGAAGAACACTCCGCGGGCCCAACGAATGAGGCGAAAGAGGCGGCTCTGATGGGCAAGCTCCTAGGGCAGCTGATTGGCATCGGCGGCAACAAGAGCGACCCCAAGAAGGAGGGGAAGGAGGGCCCCTCTAGGTGGAGGCGAGGCGATTGGCTGTCTGTCTGGCTGACTCGGGCAAGTCATTCCTTCGGGAGTGCGTGCCTTCATCGGCAAGTCATTCCTTCGGGAGTGCGTGCCTTTAGAGTTCAGCTGGACGGCAGCCCTTCTTCGCCACCACTCCATCCATGGTAAGTGAAACACAGCACGCACAGAGAGACAGACAGAAAGACAGACCTCCCTGCATCTTGGATGAATGGACGGGTGCATCTGTCTGTCTGTGTGTGCGATGTGTTTATGAATGCGTTCAGGTCGCGTGTGACCCATCATGTCTACGACAGACACCCTGTGGCTCGGCCGCGACGGCAAGCCCAGCACCACTGAGCCCCCCTCTGGCGCCCAGACTCCCCTCGTCCACCGTGACATCCCTCCGACCCCTGCGGTCAGCGCGTTGGTCAGGTCTCCTGGCCAACTGCTCCCCCGTGGTCGGTCTGCCGGCCATGCCAGCCGACGCATCATCGGATGCTGCGCCGCCGCCGCCGCCGATCGAGGCCAAAGTGGAGGTGCTCGAAATCGACGGAGAGAGGGTTGGCCAGGCGGCCCTGGCCAAGCGCACTGACGGGCTGGAGGACGAGGACCCCTTGTCGGTGAGTGTCGCCGACAATGACGAAGACTCGTCTCAACCGCCAGAGGGCGACGCGCCGGAGGGCGCCGAAAAGAGGAGAGAGGGGACGAAAGATACACAAGGGTCGGCTGCGGCATCGTCAGCTCCCTTTGGCGATCCCTCCACCCAGCGGAGGCAACATCTTCGGTTTCTCGGGTGCGTTCGGCAAGGTGCCAGCCGCGCTACCTGAGAAGGCGGGCGGCAGAGGTGGCGGCAGGAGGTCCAAGGGCGTAAGGAGCAAACGAGCTGGCCCTGGAGCTCGGCGAGCGACCCATGGACGACGATGGCCCGGGTCCCCCCCCGCCCCCCCAGCCACCGAGAGGCGCTGATCGGTCGTCGCTGCGGAGCGACAAGGACGATGAGGGCAAGGAGGGGGACGACGACACCAGCGGCATGGGAGCCGCTGCTGCCGCTGGATGCCGGCCCAGGTCGTTGTCGTCTCCAAGGGGGACTGCTGGATCGATCGGACGGTAAGTCAGTCCGTGAATGGATCTGATGACACGTACATGAGGTGATGGCCTGCTTCCTCTTTTTTTCTGTATTCTATGTGCCTCTCAGTGACGATTCCCGTCAATCTCGCGACCGTCGCGCCCGCAGTCCGTCCCCCCGTCGCCACCCCAACCGGCCCGGAGTGACCGACGATCACTTCAGCTACGGATACCCAGACCCCCCACACACCTCGGCGCTCCACGAAGACCCATTCACCATTAATGACGCAGCACAGGCGGGTCTGCGGTGGCAGCAGCCACGCAGGCACGCACCCAGAGACCGAGAGGTCACCCCATCCCACCCACCACACAATGGGGACCCGCCATGGGAGTCTGGCCAGAGGGGGGGCTCGCTGGCGACATTGGGAGGGCGAGGAGGGCCTGTCTTGTGCGGATCAGCGCGTCAAGGCGAAGCTGAGGTTGCTTGAGGCGTTGGGTCGGTTCATGGGTATGGTCATGACGACAGCCTCGCCGCTGAACCTCACACTCAACCCCCTCATGTGGAAGAACCTGACGGCCGTGCCCATATCACTGCAGGTGAGGAACCGACATGCACACAGGCACATGGATGGATGGCGATCGGACGCACATTGTGCTTTTGTCACTCATGTCAGGACCTTAACGACGCCGACAGTGAGGCTGTCGAGTGGTTGCGGCAGATGAGGGCACTGGATGGCGGGGAGGGGCAATGGTGTGTATGCACACCATCATGTCAGAGTGTCGGTGTCTAACACCATCATGTCAGAGTGTCGGTGTAGACACATTGGCACTTTCTGGTGGGTACTTTCTGGTTGCGTGACTGACTTATTTGTAAATGACTTTTCATGCAATTCTCCCGTCTTTGTTTTCCCCCTGACCTGACCTGACCTGTTCTAGCCAGGCGTCCACCGAGAGAGGAAAACATTTTCTCCGGTTTGTTTGCACCGGCCAGATGTTTTTAATGTGTACACACACACACACACACAGTGTCACATACATACCATACACTTCCTTACTTCGGACGGACAGGGCTGACTGTCTGAATGGCTGGGTACATGCCATGCACTACACTCATCCCACTCACTCACTCACCACACACACTCACACACCACCTACCTGAATGCAGTGTGTTTATGCTGGGTGGATATAAGTGAGTAGCTGACCTCACTGACTGCATCGCTTTTGTCCTGCGCGCCCCGCAGATGACATTGTGCCATCGTCATGCCATGACGATCGCCTTCGTACTCGGCATCGGTCTCCTTTTCCCATCCGGCCGTCGGCGGCAGCCTTTTGAGTATTGGCGCGACACCTTGGCTCGCTCTAAGTGTGTGTTGTTGGCCACCTCGTGTGTGTGTGTGTGTGTGTGTGGTCCTTCATTCTTCATAGCTGCCTCCCGCTGACAGCGCACTGTCCGCACTGTACAACGCGTTCGATAGACACAGTCACTTGTTTGCAGTGATGCGCTGTGCCTGCTATACTTGCTGAACCCCTCTGTATGTACCACCCACTACTGTACACCATGTCAGTCATGTTATGCACGTGACTGATGGACTGACTTGTGGGTACGGATCGGATGGACAAGACGGTCTCGGCCATGCATATGCCAACCTACCGCACACACACACACGCGTACGTGTCAGTCATGTTTTCCTTGATCTCTGCCCTGCCTGCACTCATGATTCATTTCATTCGTTTGGCAAGCTTCCGTGTCGATCGTTTGGATAAGTATTTGCATTCCTACACTCAATACAATGAATGGTGCGCACCGCACCTCAGTGAACTTTAACTCTCCCACACATAACTCTCCCACACATCACACAACAGTCAACACACAACGGACACACAGATGTCGACTCATGACATCAATCAGCTGGGAGGAAGCGGGCCGTGGCCAGCTCACTCAAATGGCAGGCTAATCAGTCGGCGCGCATGATATCTATCATCACGTGCGCCTCACTCCAAAAGCGCACGGCGAGGAATTGGCGAGAATTCGGTGACAGAGAGACATCGCCACTTTTTTCGCGGGATGGATCGCCATCCTGTGCAATATCCTGTGCCATCCAGTGCTTCCTGCCGTTCCGACACCTCTCTTTCAGCGACTGCATCGCAGTCCCACCTCTTCGCTTCACCATCGCCGCCAACGCGCCTGGCGCCATCTTCAGCCGCAGCTATTCAGGGCTGACAAGGTGAGGAGCAGGTGAAGTGAAGCGCTCAGTGATGCCATCTTTGTGCCGCCGCAATTGGCGTGTGCTCTGAAATGCAGACTGCTGACCCGTCTGCAAGGAAGAGCAGCGTGGCTGTCCCCCGGCTGCCCCTTGTTTTTTGCGTGAGAATCGTGATGCATGTGTTGAAGGAGGTGCGCGTCAACGAGGAGGACCAGACGCCCGTGCTCGGCGCCGCACTGCCCAACCCGCTGTCCGGGTTCATCAACGAGCACGGTGGCGGCAACAACGCCAGCATCCTCACCACCACGGACGCCCCAAGCCGCATCTGGAAGACAGTGCCCATCGAACAACACACGTGCCTGTCGGATGTGGAGGAATTCTAGCACGTTCAAGACGCTAATGCTGCCAACCACCAACACCAGCAGCCTCGGCAGCACCGCCCGGGGTGAGCGAGAGACCGGCAGTGCGGCAGCGGCTATCGAAACGAGCAGGCTGGAGCACTTGCGGGACTCGGCAAGTGCCGACCTCACTGCAATAGACGATGGGCCGACCAAGGCCCCCTTTGTGCGGATCTTCGGCGCCCGCATCGACCCTGAGCGACCGGCCATGCTCGTCGAGGGCGATATCGAGACCCCCATGGAACAAGTCCCACCAGGTGCGTCTGCGTGTCACACGAAAGAAAGGAAGGAGGGAATCTAGAGAGGGGCAGAAAGAGAGGATCTCATATTCTCTGTCCCGTGCTCTTCTTCTCTTCCGTGTGTGTTGACTCACTCAATCAGGCGCCTACACGCCGCTGGATGGGTTTCTGAGAGTGCAGTCGTTCACGGCCCAGCCTAGGCCGTTCTCGATGGTCACTCGGAGGCTGAGCTGGTGAATGGTGTGGGGCTGCTCGGTGGTGAGCAAGGGCTCCCATATCCGCTCCATGTACTCGTGAAGGACCTCGCCCAGCAGCACAGAAAGGGCCTCCGCCCCAGGGCAAAGAGGATGGCCACCTCCCTCACCCACATCTTGGCTCACGGGCACCCCCGCCGCTTTGGACGAGGTGACGGCCCTGCTGCTGGTTTGGGAGTGGCGGGCCAAGGACAGTTCCATGGGTAGCATGACGGCGGCCGAGCAGCAGGCCGTGTGGGCGGCGGTGGCGAGGGCGGAGGACCGCATGAGGGCGGCAGGCTACGAGCGGCTGTTTAAGTGCGGAGGCAGGGGCCAACGCGACGGCCGAGGACGACCAGAGGATGGTGGAGGCCATCTGTGCCAAGGCAGCCCTGGACCACATCGACACATTTCGCCACACCACCGACCCTCATACCGGCCTCCCTCGATTGCCCTCTCGCCCCACAGACGCCGCCCCCTCACTGCTCGACAGGATGGACAGGGAGCCGCATCTCACGTGGCTGAATGGCGTGGCGGCGTGGCTGGCGAATCTGGCGCTGCACGCATGCCAGCCGGAGCTCACGGGCAGACACATCACCTTGGAGCAGATCGAGAAGAGCCTGTACGAGCTCCATGAGTCCTTCATGAAGGAGTCCTTCGTGGTGCAGGCCAGTGTGTGGGAGGCCCCAGCCACAGCAGACAAAGTGATAGACCTGGCCATCACCATGTCGAACAAACAGGTGTGTGGCAATGGACGAAAAGAAAGAGAGAGAGAGAGAGAGGTTTGTTTTACTCCTGTATGCTTGCTGGATTTGCGTGCCTGTGTGCAGGGGTGTGTGCCTCTGGTGCATCCCTCACGTGGCGAGAAGCCAGGAGAGCCCCCCTCGGCAGCAGAGGGGGGCTCGGCGGCCGAGCGTCAGCAGCGCCGACGCCCCCTTCGCTGTTCCAGCAGACAGAGAAGCGCATGGAGCGGCTGCCACACCGCCTCGTCACTGTGGACGAGCTGCTGATGCAGATGGAGCAGCGCATCTCGATGCCCACTGGGTGGCCAACAAGTAGACAGACATGTAGATTAGTCACTTTCATGTCTCGCATTTGCTCGTGTCCGTCTCAGGACATCTCTGCACATCGCTGCCCACGTTTTATATCTGAGTGGAGTGGAGTGTCCAAGGACAGCACCCATCGCCTGTCGCCCATGCAGAGAGCAGCGGGGTTGCCGACGCCAACCACCCCATCGAGGATGCCGGTGGTGTGTCTGGCCATGGCGCGACGAATGGGCTGGTTGTCGAGGGTATGGGGATGGTGGGGGAGCCGCTGGTCAAGGACGTCAGGCGAGAAGACACGTCGCCGGCAGAGGAGGGCGCCGACACCGCGAACGACACAGCCGGGAGGGAGGAGGCGGGCGAGAGAGAGGTGGAGAGGCAGGTGGACGAGGAGGAGCTGCCTGACGCTACCCCTGACACCACACAGCAGCAGCCGCCCGTCGAAATAGCGCCGCCCGAGAGCGAGAGGGAGGGAGTGGAAGTGCAGGAGTTGGAGGCGGACCAACACTTACCACAGGTATGTGCCTGATGCCCGCCACATGCACATCCATCCATCCATCCACAAATGTTCTGTCTGTCTGTGTCTCTGTCTGTGTCTCTGTGTGCGTCTTGTCAGGTGTTCAAGTCTGACCCCGCACCTACATCGCCACCCCAAGAGGTGCGCACCCCGGTCGTGGCCGAGCCAGCCAGCCTCTCCCGCACCCCCAGCATCCCGCCGCACATTGCTGCCCCCGCCGCTGCACCACCACCACCCACCAACTACACACCACCCTACCCCTACGCCACTGGACCACACCCCCTCGCAGCCGCAGCACCCAACCGGCACTCGCTCCCAAAAGCACCTATGTGCCAGTGCCCGGCATCGAGGCTGCATTCGAGCCGCTGGCCAAGGTGCTGGTCCCCTGGCATATGGCGCCTCTGCGCGTCAGGCAGGACGGCCTTGAGGGGGGCTGGTACTTCAATCCTCAGCAGCGCCGCTGGGATCTGTGGGAGTGGGACGACAGCGTCGACATGTGGGGCGTCAAGTCGTCCACCCAGGACTGGTGGATGCGGGCGGCAAGTGCGACCTGGCAGTGGCGACCAGACAACGAGGAGCTGCGCCAGAAGACAGTGTCAGCCATGTCGGCTCTGTGGGAAGGGGTAGTGGGCCTTTTCTCGTGTGAGTGCCAGTGAGGGCCCTGGGGGAGGGGAGAGGAGAGGAGGGGGCCGTGGCTGTGGGGTGGTGGCTGCATGGGTGTTTGCTTGAGGTTGGTTGGCGTGTTGTCATGCTTCAGAGATCATTCCATGTTACATAACTGCATGGAGCGAGCGAGGCAGGAGGGTGGAAAAGAGGACCGTGTGGAGTCGCTCGGTGACATCGTTGTCTACATTTTATATTGGTGCGCTCTGTGAGACAATGGCCAGGTGCATGTCTTATTAAATCAGCCGTCGTCCATGCTCTTTTCTCAATTATTCCATTCACGACCATATCATTCAATTTCATCCATCTCATTTCTTCTCTCTTCTCAGGCAGGCACCACATGCAGATCCAATCGCACAGTATCTAACGTCACGGCGGCGCGATGCCCTTTTTCCGCAGGTAGCGCCTCTGGAATCGATTGCCCCTCTCGGTGAGGGTGGTGTCGTCCACATCGTCAAAGTCCACCGTCAGCTTCTTGCCCTCGACGATCTCCTCCAGCGACGCACGAGGTAAACCGCTCTTGTCAAGACGAACGATCTCGTCCTTCAAGATCCTGACACACACACGTGTGAGTTCTGCGATGCACACATCCATCCACCGGCACGTGTACCCACCTACCTCTTGAAGTTGGGGACGCCCAGCAGCTTCTCCCTCAGCCCCGTCATGCGCCTCTCTATCAGGAAGCCCCACCCGATGTTGGCAAACGTCAATATCACCGCCAAAGTGAAGAGTGCCAGGGCCGTGGTGGCACCGATGCGGAGCAGCGTGTCAAACACGGGGTTCTCGTACATCAGCTGCGAGAGCACCAGGCTAGGCAATGCCCCAGTCACGCCGTCAGCTTGAGGATGGGCCAAGTCATCAGGCGGGGCGATGGGGAGAAAGGAGAGATCGTTGACGGCTGCTGGAGTCCTCAAGAGCGAAAAATCGCTGTCGGGCAGCCTCGCGACGCCTGAATGAAGAGATGAGGGTGCCGACGGTCCAAAGTGGAGCGCTGGCGGCGGTTGGAAAGCATCAGCACTGACAGCAAGCGCCAGGATCTGCCATAGCATAGCTCTGTAGAGGCTACAGAGAAGCTGCATCTTCGTCGCCAGAAGACACTCACACGACGATGAATAAAGAGCCTCAAATCAACGGATCTTCACATCCGCAGCTGTTCTGCCGCTGACGATGCGCCTGTTGCTTGTGGACTTGTGGACTTGTGGGACTTCTCCTTCTCTTTCCCTCCGCTAAGCTCGCAGATGCCAAGCTCCCTCGAGGAGAAGAGCTGAAGGCGGATCGGCGTCGCCCGAGCAGCATCAGGAGATCCACATTGAAAGGAAGCAGAAGCTGATCTGATCATCTGTCATCCAGTGTCATCGAGTGTCCGTCATGGCCAGGCCTTCTGCAGCGGCAGGCAGAGCCGGCGGCGACGCTGGTGCTCCAAAGAAAGACAAGTGGAGCAAACGCGCCAAGGAAGAGCAGGACGAGAAGTGGAGGAAGACCCGGAATCTCGTCATCGGTCAGTACTCGTGTGCTCATTGGGATGCACAACGGCTTTGCAATGGTGCATATGTGTGTGCTGCAGGTCTGGGAATGCTGGGCTTGCTGTCGGGTGGTTTGTTCCAGGTCGTCTACACGATTTGGGATGCAATCTATGGCGGATTCCACCACATACCTCTTGACAACAGCAACAAACTCAAAGGTCAGGCAGACAGACACGCATCAAACCGTGCAGCCGTTCGCAACACAGAGCAGATGCTGCGCTGTGTTCCTTCAGATGTGTTCTTTTCGGGCGAGCCCTGGCTCGTTCACTGCACTTATCCCGACTCGACCACGCCGTAAGCACACATCAGCACCAAGCTGCGCTACTGCTGCAGCTCATCGTTGGGTGTGGACTCAATGCGTTCAGGATGGTTCATCCGGTGCTGCAGAATGCCCGCACGAAGCTCTCCACTGAAGGCTTCAGGCTGGGCACCATGGACTGTGGATGTGAGAAATCATAGACAGGCAGCAGGCACACATGATGGAGCTGTTTGTGGTCTTGTATCTGACAGCTCCGATGGCGTCGAAGCACAACAAGAGTGTGGTAGACCGCTTCCACCTCCCCAAGACAGCCGTGGGCTTTGTGGTGGCCAACGGCGACAAACCCAAGCCACTCACACACCAAAGTCTGACTGACGCCAAGAAGCTCACCGAATACGCCAAGAAGGCCGCCGAACCAAAAGTCGTCCAAATCGTTTCGGTACGTGCGAATGAGAAAAGTGAAGGAAAGGCCACGAGCGAGGCATTTCGTTGCTCCCTCTTGTTTTGTGCAGGTTCATGAGTTTCCGGCTCACTGCACGGAGAGGCGTCGGTGTGTGGTGTTGGGTCAGAGGGGCGGTGTGGCCAAGAAGATGCGTCAGGAGATCCTGCCGCCGCTGATGCACGACAAGAAGGTCCGGGGCCTCAAGCTCGTCTCAGTCGACACGGCCAAGTTCCAGGTATGTACGCGCCGACGATACAGTAAGCCTCTCGTGATTCGATGACGTGGGTGTGGTTGGTTTGTGTGGTCAGGTGAAGTTGGATGAGAAGATTCTGTCGACGCGTAAGAAACTCCCGAAGGATAAGGATGGCAAGGCGTCCGACTCGCGAGGGCTGACAGCCATGTGCCTGCACAGATCAGATGAACCGAGTGGTCAAGCTGATCAAGGTATGTCATGCGAGCCACGACACACTGATCGATCAAGGGGCGCATGGACGGATATCGAGTGGGTCGATTCGGTTTCTCCCTCTCAGATGAGGAGAGCGGCAAGGCGAAAGGGGGCAAGGGGAAGAAGAAGCCCGCGGGGACCTTCTACGGCTCATTTCACAACGGTGAGCCATTCACACAGTCCTCTGAATTGCAATAGACCAACACAACCGCGTCACCGTCTGTGTGTGTGGGCGCAGGTGAGGTGACAGATGACAATCCGGGCGGGCTGGGCAAATTTATCCGGGCCTGCGGGACGGTCGCTCTGGGAGCAGGTAGACATGCAGATGCGAATCCATACCCCAGTCGATTTCGCCCTGTGGCATGTAGGTTCCGGAGCTTTAGTGAAGCTCGACCATCCTCCCAAGATCTCCCTGCGCATCAGACCCACACCACAGACCGCCCAACAGCAGCAGAGGCAGCCACCACCCGAACGGCCACCACCATCCTCCTCCCAGCAGCAGAAGCAGCAAGAGGATCTGGATGATGTGGATTGGGCGAGCTATGGTTTGGGTGACGAGTGGCGGGAGGACGGGGGCGATGATGAGGGTGAGGGTGTGCCTCGGCGTGCGGCGGGGCCAGAGGAGCTCGAGTTTGTGGATGAAGACGACTATGTGGAGGCGGGGGGGGACGCGGAAGGCGACGAGGATGACGAAGGGGAAGTGGTGAGAAAGACACAAGGGAGGGAAGATATGGGTGGGTGCGGGGCATCGCTATCCTACCCATTTGTGTGTCTTGTTCGTGTTGTGTGTGCAGGTTTGGGTGTGAGAGGATGGGCTGTTTTTCCTGTGGATAGGGCGATCGACTCAATAAGTTAAGGCAGGGCCGAACGGTCGGCCTGGTGGGATGCGTGACTGCACAGACAGCTTTCGGTGTACATGTCTGTGTGTGTGTGCATGTGTGTCGACTCTCTCTCGTGTCACTCATCGATCGACGCGATGACTGAATGCAATGAAGGGATGTCTCGTTCGAAAAAGAGTGTTCACTCATCCATTTCAACCATTACATGCATCCACCGTCAGTCGGGGTGGAAAAACTCTGCTCCCCTCCTTCAGCCTTCCGCCTGTGCACAGCATACCCCTCGTTTCGCACGTCGATGACGAGCTTTATGCAACTCGCCACTGATGTGCGGGCAGAGGAGTGTACGTAAGCACCAGATGGCCTCTTCTTCCCCTCCCTCGAGGGTCAGCTTCATCCAAGTGCCTCAGCGACTCGGTACGATGTCTCCTGATCGGCTGCTTCCTGATCAGGAGACGGCGTACCTGATCCCAGAGGTAATGGGATGAAACGACCCGAGACTGCAATACTCTACACAGAGACGCCCCACCGATCGCTCTCTCACTCACTCACTCACTCCCCTGTAACCAGCCACGCATCCTCATACATACGAAGAGCCATCCCTGTTCTCCCTCCCCCTTTATCGGCCATGCGGCTGCGACACCTTCCTGTTGGTGCCCTGCCCGTACGGCACCCCCTGGCCGCCAGGAGGCCCCGGCTGCTGCTGCAGGTGCGCATACCCGCCGCTGACATGGGGCGGCGCGATCTGGAAGGGATGTGGCGACGCCATGCCAGTGGCCAGCGGGGGGCGAAACTGGGCGTAGGCAGGGGGCGAGTACGAGTAGAAGGCCGGGCGAGCGATGCCCCCACTGGTGGGCGACCGCGGCATGGCTGGTGGTGGTGGCCCGGCTGGGAAGTGCGGGACGAATGGGTGCGGAGGGGGGCTGTAGGTGATGCTGCCCTCGTGCGGGATGGCCTCATGTCCACCAACACCACCAGCAGACGACGGCACATGCTGCGATGTGCCAGCGGACGTCACCCCACCTGCAGCAACATAGGCGTGCACCACAGGCGCAGGGGCGCCCTCACCAACCGAGTACGACAGCGACGGCATGAGCGGGGCCGCTGCCTTCGCTGGCGGCTCCGTCACGCCACTCCCCTTCTCGACAGCCTCCTGGGGCACCTCGTCCCCCTCTCCCGTCATCTTGCGGCTCTCCTCACTGGCCTCGTGGTCGACAGAGGGAGGTGAAGGCGACCCAGGTCCACTGCCTGCACGCGGCTGCCCACCGGTCCTCTTGCCCTCTGCCGTCGCCTTCCCTTTTGGCTTGGCCTTGCCGGCAGCCGCACTTGACGGACGGGGGGGCTGCTTGGCGGCCGTCGCGCTGGCCGGCTTGGTCTTGGGCGGCGGCGGCGGCGTCGACTTGGCCGTATGTTTGGCTGCAGGCTTGGCCTTTGCTGGGGGAGGCTTCGGGTGCGCATCAGAGCCTGAAACAAAATGATAAATCAGACGACAGAAATGAGAGCCCAGATGCTACTCAGATGTGTTGGTGTTTGCGCACCAGCAATGCCATCTGTGGTCTCGCTCTGCGCCTCCTCGGGCGATTCCGCCGGGTCCCGCCCTGCCCCCGCCTCGTGCAGCATTGCTGCCGCTGCTGCCGCGACAGTCACGCCCTCACCGTCACCACCACCACCAGCAGGCGCCGTGCCCGCCTCGTCCTCCCCACCCGTGGATTGCTGCTGTGGCGCCAGCGTTGGCGGCAGGTGCAGGCGGGGCACTGCGCGGCTGGAGCCAGCCGCGGCCTTGGGCACCATCAAATGAAGCTGCAAACAGTGAAGGCGATATGAGATTATCACAGGCCTGTCAGAGTGTGGTTGGTGTGTGCGCGTGTATACCGTGGCTGGTCCCGGGGGCGATTGAGCGTCACTATCGAAGGGTGCCGCCTCGGAGAATGGCGAGGCCGATGGGAGAGGGGAGGCCGCCGCTGTAGAGGGACTCACTGGCTCCCTCTCCTCTGACATATCCAACAGGTAAAAAGATGTGATCGGCGAGCAGATGCCAGCCGTAATTAAGCGTCGCTGACCAGCAGGGTGCAGCCTCATGTACTCGTTGAGTCGTGTGGTGGCCTCGTCGCGGTCGAGCTGGGCCTGGTGGAACGCACTGGTCGCCTTCAACAGCTTCTCCTCGAGCAACTTGTGCTGCACACAGACCACACCCCGTGGGTGTAGATGTTGGCCGCGGTGGGTGTAGATGGCTTACTTGTTTCTCCATTTCTTGGATCCGCTCCATCTGCTGGACTCGGATGGCGTCGAGCCGGATGGCCTCCTGCTCGTAGTGCCGGGCCTTGCCCAACATGTCATCGGCGTGTTGACAACCAAACACTGCAACCACACACACGAGCACACAGAGCACTCATTCATTCCCTCTCCTCTCGAGCTGTGTGCTGTGCTTACAGTTGTTAGGAAAGATGCCTATGATGACCTCCCCCTCCTCGATGCGGTCAGTGGACGCACATGACGGGGCAGGCTCCTGCCCGTCGTCCTTGGGGTGCACTTTGGTGCAGCGATAAAGAGCGATTTTGTCGGCAGGGATGAGGGTGCCCAGGTTTGCCGTCACGCCCATGGCCTCGCTGAAGTGCTCCACCTGAACAACAGGCCCAAGGAGCGCATCAACGCGTTTCCGTGCCTTTTTCGACGACTTGCTGTCGTCTATGTGGCTGCCCCTCTGCTCACTGCTTGTTCGACGGTGCATGACTGCAGCTTGAGGTCGGTGGCATGCAGCCCAGCATACAGCTTGATCGGCATCGCGCTCCTCTGTGACGGGGTCACCCGCACCGATTCGCACTGATGCCTTACGCGCCTTGAATGGATGGGATTGATGGACAGCTGATGGACCAACTCACAGCACCGGGAAAGAAGCGCAAAACTTGGGGTCCTTGGCTTCAAGCTCGCATTTCCGTGAAACCGCTCTCTCGGGAAGTGGCCTGCAACCTTCCCCGCCTGGACAAGCACCGACTATGGCGTCGTCGGCGCCAGCTCCATCGACGGCACAATCTGCTGCTTCGAAACCGCCCATGACGGCGTCCAAGGCGCCCACGACTGCATTTGCCGTGTGCAAGATCCCCAAGTACAGCGCCGAGTCGACCCATGATGCAGACCCGTCCTCATTCTTCTGGGTGTTCGAGGCCGAGGCGCCGCACGGCGAAGGGTCGGTCTTCAGACGGCGCCTTGCCAACGACACGCGAGCGCTGCTGGGCGAGGAGGTGCCCATCGAGTACATCTCTGAGGAGCAGGCTGAGGGAGCACACCTGCCACGGCTGCCAAACCCGCCGGTCAAGAGACCTCTCGACCAAGCCACACGACTGGCGGCAACGAAGGTCAGAGGACAGCAGCAAAGAAATGTGTATACGTGCGGCATGCATCCACGCGCTGGTGAGTGTGGCTCTCGCTTTGTTCTGTGCATCAGGCTCTGCGTTTGTCTGCCAAGTACATTCTCGAGTGTGTAGTAGAGCACGTCCTGGCGCTAGAAGGCCTCAAGGCGCCCGAGACCCCTCCAAAAGCCCCACCCGTGACCCGCCCAGCGTCCAGTGGCGCCCAGCCGTCCTCCCAGCCGTCCATCATGGACGCCTACGAGATGATCTTCGCCCGCAAGGCGCCAGAGGAGACGACGGCAGCTGATACCACGGACGAGAAGGCAACCAATAGTGACGGGCTGGTGATCAAGCGGATCGGGGACAAGGACGAGTCAGGTGGTGCTGTGGAGGGAGGCGGGGGGAGCAACAAGAGGGCACAGCCGCCCTGCTACATGCTGGAGGGAGATACAAGCGATAGGAGAGGTGAGCACAGGGGAAGTGACGGTGGGTCCTCTGATGCCACATGCAACGAGATGTGTGTGTGCGTGTGTGTGTGTGTCAGTTCGTCAGAAGGTCAAGCTGGCTCAAGATGCGTTCATCGAGGCCCTCCACTTGCTGCCGCCGCGCACCTTCTTGCCGCCCCCCTCTCTGACGCAGCCCAATCCCCTCCCCTTCCCCATCCACCCCCCCAACCCTTCTGCCGTCCCCACCAGCAGCCCATACGTCTTGCTGGAACCCGTCTCCCTCATACCTGGCGCAACCTCTCACCAGCCTCTGCCAGTGTCATCCCCCCCTCGCAGCAGCATCCTCACCCCCATGCAGGCGAATCGCCCCGCGGCACCACCCCCTCCGAGGCCACCGGCAGCACCGCAGCAACAGCAGCCGAGGGCGTCGATGGCTGCGGGTGTTGCTGGGCCGTACATGCAGTCGGCGGCCAGCGTGAGTAAGGAGGTGTCGTCGCTTTATGCGTCGCTGACGGGGCAGAGTTCGAGCTAGGGGGGCGGAGGGAGGGAGAGGTTTGTTAGCCGGATGGGTGCCGCTTTTGTGATACGGAATGCTGAAATGCGTGCGAGGGTTGTCTGTCTGTCCATCGTGGGTGTGGTTGCCCAGGGGAAGAGGAGCGTCGGCATTATGCAGAGCAAGATCTCGCAGATGACCGATGCTCTTCTTCTCCTCGGCAACAGCTTTCGATGGCTAGCACTTGTCAGAGATAACAGACTACATGGCAATTTACGAGAGATCGAAACATCATGATGTGTTACCCTTGAGACCTAAGCGGGGAAAGAAAACGGCTTGAAAATGACGAGGGGTGCCTAATTCAGGGATGATGAACGTGGACGATGACATCGAGCGCATGCTCGATGACATCCAGCATCAGCATGGCGCTCCCCCGGCAGTTCGCGTGGCGGTGTATTACTACGACCTCGCCGACAGAAGCAACACAGAGCCAAACCAACACATCATCCAGGTGAGGTGAAGGAGCTCTCATCCACTGCCGTGGCCTGCATGAGATGTCGCCCATCCATCCATCCATCCATCGTTTCTCGGATTTGCGTTTGGCCGGTGTGTTTCTGGCCTGCAGGTAGCTGCAGGCGCCCCTTTGCACGAGGTGAAACGCATCGCATCTCACGTCTGCCGCAAGGTAAATGTCAGCAGGGCAGATGAAGCAACTGCCGACTCATGTGGCGTCTTTCAGGACTTCTCTCGCTGGGCGGTCAGACATTGCAGCGTCGCCAACCATCGCCTCACCACCAGCGCCATCCTTCCCGACGGCATCACTATCAACCTCTTCAACAACATCGCCACACAAGACCATGGCCTCTTCCTCGAGCCGTCCGAGGGACTCATCGCGGCGTATCAGCAGACGAGCCGTCAGCTGGAGGACGCCAACCTGGCCCACCAGGCTGCCTCATTGCAGTACTCCCAGCTGCAGGACATCAAGGACAGCTACGAGGCCACCATGTACGAGCACTCATTGGAGCAGCAGACCGCGGAGGACGAGATCGCAGCGCTCGAGCATCAGGTGGCCACCATCCAGCAGCAGAAGGAGCAGCAGGTACTTGCCATGGAGGCAGAGGT